AAACCAAAATGTAATCATAAACATTCGGACTCGTAAAATATTAAAATATACAATATGACAAAATAACTCAAGTTCATTCATAGTTATACTTCTATCATTACATTGTATAATATAAGTGTACTAATAAATATCAACATTAACACTTTTCCTTATTTTGTTTAATATGCCGCCATTTATGAAATATCAATTATCTGTGTCAATAGTCAAATAGCTGCGCAAATTATCTTGTTCTATATTCTATCGTGAAAAATTAACGGCAGATAATAAAATATATGTAACACGAAGCTAAATAAAATATTATCGGGTACATCTATCATACTAATGTAATAATCAAACTTTACGAGGAGAACGAAGTCATACAATAGAAACTTTGCTAACTTTATCATTTACATGTGAAAATATAACTTATATAATAAAGAAAATAACTTACATTAATCAGATATATGTTGTGTCCACAATGAATGAAAATAATAATATACAGGTAATATAACTCGGGACACACAATATCATGTGGCTGTCATTTCAAGTTCCCGTTCAAATCTACCTGGTCAATACAAAATATAAATTGACCGCGAAATCACAATGACCAATCAGATACGCAATTTTAAGTAAGAACCTTTTGAATATTCATTAACTAAATATAAAAAGTAAAGTGTAGATTTGGATTTAAATTATAATATTCTTTTATCGAAATTCAAGAGTAAAACGTTTATAATAAATTAATTTGAAGAACGTTATAAAGATATTTTTACTGTTATTTAATAGGCGTAAAAATGACACTACTACATTTTACTGAACCAATCTGCAGAAAACCTGATAAGCGGTACATTCGCTGCTTTCTTCACCTGGTAACCCAACAACAGCTACTTGTCCTAATTGTTTTTTTCAAATACTAAAGAATAATAGAAATACGGAGCATTTCACTGCCGTATAAAATGTACCCGTAAGTAAAGATGCTTTTGTTCTTGTTGAGGAATCTTTGGATATCTTATTGGTAGTCTAAATCATATGGATTTTATTTAATAATTTTACATTACTTATTATAATAAGAAACAGCTAGGAAAGTAATAAATTTATAGTGTTTAACAAAGACGACGAAAATCAAAAGTAAGTAAACATGTTTATGCTTTATAATCTATATGAACAAAAGGCGTTATTTGTGTGATTTTTTTTACGCCATAAAAATAGATCAAGTGTTCGTAGGTCGGTTTGGCATTAGTTAATTTAGGTTCTGTAGTTGATGTAAAACAAACGTATCATTGGATTTTATCTTATCACTTTCCCACATTTCAAAGAAAGACACAAGTCGGGCTGTTTTTCATGTGTGCTAATTGTTTTCCATTAAATAAAATTGAGAATGGAAATGGGGAATATGTCAAAGAGACAACAACCCGACCAAAGAGCAGATAACAACCGAAGGCCACCAATGGGTCTTCAACGCAGCGAGAAAATCCCGCACCCGGAGGTGGTCCTCAGCTGACCCCTAAATAAAATTGAGTACTGGTTCAGTGAAAATGGACGTCACACTAAACTCCAAAACATATAAAGGAACTAAAATTAAAAAAACATACAAGACTAACAAAGGCCAGAGGCTCCTGACTTGGGACAGGCGGAAAAATGCGGCGGGGTTAAACATGTTTTGTGAGATCTCAACCCTCCCCCTATACCTCTAGCCAATGTAGAATAAAGAAACACATAGCAATACGCACAGTAAAACTCAGTTTAAAAGAAGTCCGAGTCCGATGTCAGAATAGGTAACAAAAGAAACTAAACAATGATACATAAATTAACAAAGGACTACTAGCAGTTACTGACATGCCAGCTATAAAGCAAATAATATTGTCAGCACTCGTTGTAATTTTGAAATTTAGAATTTTCGTTCGATGATATGCTCTTACTTACTGTTCTCGTGTAATGAATACTCTATTTGAATTGACAAAACATATTTAGATATTTGAAAAATGGACTGGCTTTTTATCAAATGTAAGGAAAAAATAAATACAGAACACTACACTGTCGTATAAAATGTACTAGTAAGTTGAAATGCTTTTGCCCTTGAGGAATCTTTAGATATTCTATTGGTAGTATCTGTTATATTGTATCGTATTTTTAATGACTCAATTAATACTGAACTAGACATACATGACATATGTAAAGATATTGTTGACACGTATACTTCATTTAACTCTAAGACTAGATGTCTCTGTTTTCCGTCTGTTGTTGCCCCATTGACGTATAAACACTGCATTTCATTTTTTAATTTTAAACAGAAAAGATTTAAATTCAACTTCGCCTGATGAAGATGCAACCTAAGATTTAATGGAGTTCTATAATTTATAAACTTTTGATTTATAATTAAAACGGCATCATTGAAAATATGACAGTACTACTGTAATACTGAAGGTTAGAGTTACTAGTTCAGTGACTGTCCTAATGCAGCAAAAGGTAGTACCATTAACAGCTTATATCCACGAATTATGAACGTTTCAGATGTATTGAGACACTAGTTTAATTATCTTAAGGAACACAAAACCCAGCAAAAACAGACCAAGATCAATAATTACAGAGATAGTTTCCTTTAAAGTATCGGAATATTTAAAAATAAAATTTATAAAATTGAATGGTAAAAACAATGACTGCATATTAAGATTGTAAACTAACAGCAGAGGCATATTCGGTGATTTAAATTAAAATGAAGAAAAAAAAAAACATACTTACGTTTTAAGTTGTTATCCAACTCAAAAGTACACTGTTTAACAACAAATGCATAAGAAACGATAACACATTTTGGTTTTTGAAGTTCGGAGAAATAATAAACTCTGATGGAACTTACTTAATATGTTAGCTCGCAGTGTTTTTATTTGAAGATATGAATAAAATTATCATGATACATTAATTATTAGTATACAGAATTTCCCCGTAATTCTTTGCTTCGAGGAAGTCTTCCAGATTTTTTCCATTCGATTTAGAATAAAAGAACAAGGTTAATGGAATTATTTCAATGTATTTTTTAAATGTAATCACGCTAAGTCAGACCATCTACATTACCAGGTACATGTACGTGTACTTATAGCTTGATCGTTTGTTTTATGAACGATAGGTTATGATTTTATATATCATCATTTCAAGTTATATATACAATATCCTTTTAGTGATTTAAAGTATATTTTGTATTTCATTGGATATTAGGCAACGGCTATACAGTGCGTTCACTGTATAAGGTATATATACACTTTGCATCTTGAATGTAGCCAAATGTTTGGAATGACTTTTGGACTTGAAGCTTCGTTATTTTTTAGATTTGTTCGAAATCACGCTGCTATCGTGGGTTTCAATCATTCTGTTGTCTGGAGGACCAATAGATTGAAGTCACGTTTAATAAAATAAAGCTTTTATTTACTGCCATTAAAACAACATTTTAACAGACAGACGACACAAAATATGTCCAGCCCAACCACATGTATCAGGTAGCTGACACTAACTGTGTCCCGCCAAATCACAAGTATCAGACAGACGACACTTACTATGTACCGCCAAAGCACATGTATTGGACAGATGATACTAACTGCGTACCGCCATTTTTTTTTATAGTATTCAGTCCCGTAAAATATACAAACAAGTTAATTTAGCTTCTACAATTCCCGCAACCAGAAATACTCAAATAGAGGTACAATGTATACATGTCAACACTGCTGATATATCCGCGAAAACACTAGAACATTGTTCAGCGCCCAGACTTTTCAACGAACTAGACTGTAGCTTTTGTCATTCGAATGAGGCCTCTTCTTGTAGTCTTAATCCAGCACATAATACATAATGGCATAGCTATCATTTATCTACACAGTTTTATGGCCCCGCAACAAAGTTGTCGGGGCCATATAGTTTTACCCATATCCGTTATTCCGTCATTCCGTTATTCCTTCATTCCGTCGTTCTGTCATTCTGTCATTCCGTCATTCCGCAACGACCAGTTATATGGACTCTTTTTCTAAACGCCTTCACATTTTGAGCTGATTTTTAGTATGCGAGTCTACTCTGATGAGTAACAGATCGAGTTTACGTTTGGTTACACTCCGCTGATTTTAGGCAAAAATTTGTGAAAATAGCAGTTATACAGACTTTTTTCTTAACGCCTTCACATATTGACCGGATGTTTACGTCTGGTTCCGCTCCACTGATGTGTGTCAAAATTATGGGCTTTGGACAAATCGAGTGTACGTTTGGTTTCGCTCCGCTGATTTTTGCCGAAAATTTATGAAAATAACAGTTACATGTATACAGACTTTTTTTCATAACGCCTTCACATATTGAGCTTATTTTTAGTATGTGAGTCTACTATGGTGAGCACAGATCGAGTTTGCGTCTGGTTCTGCTCCACTGGTTTGTGCCGAAATTACGGGCTTTGGACTTTTAGTGAAAATAACAGTTATATGACTTTTTTTTAAAACGCCTGCACATATTGATCTGATTCTTAGCATGTGAGTCTTGTACTATGACGAGTAACAGACTGAGTTTACGTCTGGTTTCGCTCCATTGATTTGTGCACACAAATTACGGGGTTTGGACTTTGAAAATTTCGTGAAAATAACAGTTATACGGACTTTTTTTCGAAACGCCTTCATATACTGAGCTGGTTTTTAGTATGTGAGTCTACTATGATGAGCAACAGATTGAGTTTAAATACGTCTGGTTTCGCTCTACAGATTTGTGCCGAAATAACGGGGTTTGGACTTTGAAAATTTCGTCACAATAACAGTTAAGTTTTCAAATTTTCTCTCCTAAAATGGCATCAAGTTTTTTTTAGCAAGCGGGGCCATTCGTGTCGTTCCGACACATCTAGTTTTTTAATACATCATTGAAGACCAGAGAGCTGACGTGATTACCCTGTTGTTAATGTTTGAAAACAATTTAATGTGCTCTTGACATTCATATTTGATTCTCCTATCACATTAGGCAGATTGGAACTTATAAAGGAAGATCAGTAAAAGAATAGACACATATTGCATTTTATTATACAAGGAAATCTACAAGAAATATTTAATACTATATTATACAACAATATATATCCTGACAAGGAAGAGTCGTTCTTTTGTAAACATTGACTCTTTTAGATTTGTTATATAGAATGACTGCATTGTTTTGATACCCATAGTACAATCTTTGTAGCTGTTTGCAATGATGTATCCGTCTGTAGCCAGTAATGACGAAACAATAACTGTAATTAGAAACAATAAAGGACCAATATTGTCGCTACAATTTGTTGAAATTTAAAATAAATATTTATCATAACTGTGTGACGAAAAAAAAATGATGTTATCTGTCATATACACAAAGGATAGGCTTTATCTTTTTCCATCAGTAATGATGTCTTCGGCATATTAAGGAATCAAAAGACAAGTTAGGACTATGTTCATTTACATATGGATCGGATTTGCTTCAGACAACATTGTACTCTGATCAGGCTAACGTATGTTTCAACAGGCTGTGAATCACTCAAAAATGTATTTTTCAATAACAAATTTATTTTGATTAAAGGTGTGGCCAATGTTTTCCCCAGAATGAAATAAACCTTACTTCAATATTTATTAAAAAGCAAATTTGACCGGACCTTTATATAAAAGCACTGAATAATTTTGAATCAATCATCACTGTAAAGATAACACATAGCCGAAACCAAATATAGTTTTTCTTTGTTTTTGCAATGTTTTTATTGACAAACATACGTGTATCAATATCATATACAAAGCTCAATGTAGTGAGTCCATATTTCCATATGAAAAAAGCAAGCCAAGTAATTATGTGCATTATCTATTAAATGAATCATTTGACAAACTTATAAATTCATATAAAGAAAAATACACAAAATTTTAGAAAATAGGTAGTCAGGTTTGATGGCATAATATGTATGTAATTTATGATTTACTAGTTTTTCATTATTCTATTAACATTGTTTTTATATTTGATGCCACAGAGGTTCACATTGCTTTCATCTAATTCGTGTTTAAAACAATACAGACATATGATGTGTTTTTTCTTCAAAATATTTATCGTCTTATTATAGAAACATTCTGATCTTTTGACAAAATATTTTTCTTGTTTTTCCAAAGACTGAAATAGACCTAGCTTCAACATGTTCAATATGCATGTAAAAGGCTTATTTGGCTGAAGAACCGAATGTCCTGATTCTTTGAGACAAACAACACTGTTGAACGCAATGATTATTTTATTTATACTATATTGTTTTACTTAAGATCAGAAATAATTGCATATTTAGGTTAAAACTAAGAATTTTCTTGCACTATTTATTTGATGAATTTATGGCTTTGTTGATATTCAAGATTAACCAGAACAGTTATAATTACCCATTACTGTGATTGTTTATGGACAGACATGTGTTGCAAATTAATATTATTATTATGAAAAGAAGAATTTTGAATATCTCATATTTTTTATTTATTTATTTTTATCATAATTTTGTCTTTTTTCACTGTATAGGGTCATCCCGGGGCATCTCACGCCCCGCAGTAAAACCTCGATAAAAGAGAGGCGGCAGATACCAACGTGAAATTCCAACTCATAAGTCAAAAACGTACTGACAATACCATGACAAAGCGGAGTATCGGTTTGGGTGTGTAAGATGTAAAAACCAAGCAGATATGTCACTTCGGAATAGGAACCTGTTGCGTGTGGGAAATATTTGCATCTACCCAACCCTCTTACGTCAAAGGAGCAGACCAAATGTTTACCCCTCATCCTGGTCGACTGAAGTAGCAGAAATATATCCATATTTTAGATTATGAATTTGTTATCGTTATTTAAGTATTCAACAATCAATTATCAATTTTTTGTATTTGTTTTAGTATGAAAATATCTGTTAAATTTATTTCAAAAGTCTGAATACTTGGTTATGTATTTGCTATTTCATAGACCTTTTCAGCACATCGTCTTTCATTCATTTTTAAAGTATATTTGATGGTCTGCAAGGGGTTTGCAAAGGAGTGAAGAATTAGTAAAAATATAAAGAATAGAAAATGGAAAAATGAAAAAGAGAATACTGTAGTGCTAACATATAAAAACTGAGAGTAATGGACCAAAAATAAAAAGTAGCAAGGAATAGCGAATAGAATAAAACAGAATTGCTAAACAGTTTACAGAATATAGGAGCGACTCACTTACCACCTACTGACCGCATATGTAATACTTTATCTTGCATGACGAATACGGATTACATAACAAAAAACGCTTGAATTTTCGACACCTAGCACTCACTCCATTCAAAATTCGTACGATTAATATTGTCACCATTTCATATTTGTCCGATATAATCAGTTTTGATCGTTATTTTTTTGGTTTCACTTGGAAACAACATTTTTTACTGAGACAGTTTAAATTAAAAAAAAAACAAAACATCCTAGTGATTTTTTTTTCCATTTTTTTTTCCTTTAATGTATAAAACATTTGTAAGAGTACACTTACCGTTACAATCTGGGCTGTTAGAACTTGGAAGCCATGAGCCAGAAGCACCACATACATAGATATTATTTGGATTTATTCCTCTACCAACTGTATATGATTCCTGACATAAATGAATACAAAACTGTCCAAAATCCTTTCTCCAGTTGTTACAAAGAATAGCGTCATTGATCGGAGCAGCAATATCATTACAGGGATATGCTTAAAAATAAAGGCACATGGAAATGTGAGAGGTCTATATAATAACTAATTTGATACGTTTAAAGACAACATAGTATTCTTACTCAGTCATTAGTTTCAACACCAGTGGATGATATCATGAAAAAAAATAACAAATAATATTTTTTTCTCAAACACGATGACGTTGTACAAAGTCTGAGTAGCAGCTGCAAGCACTTGAATATCGCATGAGTTAGGAAATGTATACTCCATACGCAGGTGAAGTTAAAATATTGCTGCTGAGGTGCAGAAAATTTATAATTTTCAAATTCAAATTGTTTCGGTTGTCATAGATTATGGTACTGAGGTGACCGCTGTTGCCAAATTTGAGATAAATGTCTTGAAATGGTGCAGAGGAAACTGTATCTGTAGTTTCTTTAATCTCTAGTTCACGTTGGTATATTTATGGGACCCATTCAGAAAAGTTTGGATTGTTAATGGAAAGAACACCAATAGATATATCTGTAGGTGAAATTAACAAATCTAGCTTCTTTAATCTTCTTTTTTTTACAAGTTTCTGAAGGGACTCATAAAAAAATAGGAAAAGGTCGGCCAGCAGGAGTGGTGCACAGCTGGTTCACATGGGAATGCCGACAATTTGTTGGAAAATTATACCTCCAAATTAAAAAAATATGTTGTCAATGAGGAACTGATCAATGGTTCTTCGGTGTAATAACATGTTTTATTTTCGGGCTCATATTTAACAATATATGTAGAATTGTATTCCAAAACAATAGATTTATAGCGTATGGTACCATTTGTATGAAGTGAAACATTGTGGATTATTTCTTTAAGACGGATTTTTAATTTTTTGTGTGGTATGGTGTTGTAAAGGGTGGAAAAATCGAAAGTTTTGATAGAAAATGACCGAGATTTTGAATTTTTCCAGAAGTTTAAGTTCTTGTAAGAGTTCGCACATTGTTAATGCCACTACGCGAGTAAACAGTGTCACAGTTTTTCTGTAATCCCTCTTTCACTGCAGACAAATTTTTGTTAATCTTACGGACAATTCCTTTGGAGAACATGTAAATGAGACGACAATGTACCGATGTTTGAACGGAAATTTGTGAAGTTTAAGTATCCAATACCAACAAGGTAAGTTCTCAGATTTGTTGTGAATTGAAATATTCAATGAGGCCATGAAGGACTTGCGATTTGTAAAGATCTCTTCTTTATCAAAGGTTATATTTTTGTGCGTGGGATTTCCCGAGTGTTCATTTATTCCTAATTTTTTTAATAAGACACTCGTAGTAAAAGGATTTACATATAAAAACAATATTGTTTGGAGCTTTGTTCGAAGAAACAACAACATATTTGTCGTGAAGATACTTCAGACATTTCATAGAGTCTTTGTTTCTGAAAACGGACTTAGGTCGACATTTACACAGTTTTTCAACTTGTTGATTCTTCGTTTTATCAACGACCTAATTGTTTTAACCTATTCTGACAGAGTGTCCAGTAAGACATGTTGAATTATATTTAGATTACTGGTAATTACATGACAAGAGTGCTTGTAAATATATGGAGAGTCCAAATATATTTAACAGCCACATGTAAAAGGGGTTTTAAAGTATTTTTTCTAAATCAAGATCTTGCAATGCTTCTACATAGTTTGATATTTTAAGTGCAATGATTTTGGTGTAATTATAGAAGACAAAAGGAACAGACTGAAATTGAAAGAAACGCGGAATTTTAGATGTTACTTTTTTGTGATAAAGAACGTTGCTGATGTTGTTAGCATCGATTTCCCTATTTGAAAACTGAATTTGAAGGAATTTCTGATCTTACTGGTTTAAATAGACGGAAAATTGCTACATCACAACTTATACATTTACATACTAGTCTGTATATTTTTTGCATAACATATCTATACATCTATACATAATGGTTTACTTTTATAAATTTTGACTTGGATGGAGAGTTGTCTCATTGGCACTCATACCACATCTTCTTATATCTAATCATTTGTCAAGGGCATAATCTCTCAAACATTTTAAAAAGTAAACAGGCAGTGAAAATAGAATGGTTCGAATGTAATGTAACCCAAGCGTATGATTGCGATCTGCCCCTAGTGAGGGATGTAGATTTGAAAGACTTCTTAACGTTAGGGCCATATTAATGTGTTGACCATGACTACGCTTGGATCTGAAATTAGTGTTGAATAAACCTATTATATTTACATCACTGAAGGCTGGAGTAGATAAATTTCCTGCACCTTTGATGTTATCATTAGAACCTTATGGCATTGCAGTATAATTTCCTTATCAAACAATTTTCTCTATCGGTTCCAAGAAAGAGGGACGAAAGATACTAGAGGGACAGTCAAACTCATAGATCGAAAACAAACTGACAAGGCGATCGAGATAAAAGATAATTTGGAGAGGGACACACTGAATGTAACATGTTTGAAAACGCTCACCTCTCTCACTTAATAATTCAACATTTGGTGACTATGTTGAACGCATCTATCCCATCAAACTTGAGATAAAGGATACAACAGATACAGTTAAATCTGCCTCATATATAGACTTACATCTAAAAATTGACAATGAACTCTATGACAAAAAAGATGATTCCAGCTTCCCAATTGTGAACTTTCCATTTGTATGTAGCAATATTCCAGCAGGGCTGCATACGGAGTATATATCTCCCAGTTGATACGATACTCCAGGGATTGTATTTACTATCATGATTTCCTTGATAGAGGCTTGCTGCTCACAAGGAAGCTATTAAACCAAGAGTTCCAAGTGGTGAAGTTGAAATCATTCCTTCGTAAATTATACGGACGCCATCACGAGCTGGTTGACCGTTACGGAATATCCGCTTCACAGATGATAGCGGATATGTTCATAATGTCGTTACTACAATCCTTTCCCCTTTTCCCGAATGTGACCTACCGAATTAGACTTATTACCGGGTTTGTAATAACTAACATGAGCAACAAAACAGGTGCCACATGTGGAGCAGGATCTGCTTACCCTTCCGGAGCACCTGAGATCATCCCCATTTTTTGATGGGCTTCGTGTTGCTCAGTCTTTAGTTTTCTATGTTGTGTTTTGTGTACTATTGTTTGTCTGTTGGTCTTTTTCTTTTTTAGACATGGCGTTGTCAGTTTATTTTCGACTTACGAGTTTGAATGTCCCTTTGTTATCTTTCGCCTCTCTTTTACCATCTGGGACAGTGGTGTAACAGCACGCAATAAGAACAAACTTAAAACATCAGTTGCAAAAAAATCGACTTATCAAAATAGTTTGTATTTCAAAAGAAACAAGAGAAAAAGACAATAAGAAAAACAAACAAGGAACTGATCTAAGGTAGCACGCTGTAACTGGAGGCCAGTTAAAAATAATTACAACAAAGAAATAAATCTTGCTTTCCAGGACTTAGGCTAAACATATAACTGGTTCGGTTCTCATACATCCTCGGCTTCACATATTCAGCTTTGAGTGTTCCTGATAATGGTAAATCAAGAAAAGCGCTTCGGACGCATGCAGTTAATAACGTGCTGTAACTGAATAACCCATATTTCAGTCAGTACTTACGTCTCATATATCCCAATGAACTTGAAATTAAGGATATTACTGATACTAGAAGGACTGCTTCATACCTTGATCTTTTCCTCAACATTGACACAGTTGGACGACTTGACACTAAAATCTATGACAAACGGGACGATTTCAACTTCCCGATTATCAATTTTCCATTTCTCAGCAGTAACATATGCTCTGTTCCATCGTATGGTGTTTACATATCTCAGTTGATACGTTATGCTCGTGCAAGTTCACACTTCAAATACAGGAGTGTGCTCCTTACGCAAAATCTGCTCAAAAAGAGTTATGAGGAGGAAAGATTAAAAATGACACTCCGTAAATTTGATGGACACCATCACGAATTGATTGATCTATACGATGTGTCTGTGTTTAAACTAACTAACGACATTTTTACCACGTCTTAGATTGTGGTTTACCATCTACGTCGTCTGGTCTGCTAAGTACCGGACTTTACCTATTCCCGAATAAATGACTGTTTTCCCGAGTGTGAATTCGCATTGCTACATTGTATTATACGTGTCTCGGTATTTATACATCCAACATTCATGTATTTAATTATGATGTTTCGTTTGTAATTCTGGTGAGATATTGTGTTATGTCTTATCGTTTGTGGTTTGAATTCTCTTTTTTCATTTTTATATGTATGTAAAGTTAAGATAATTAATCAGCTAGTTCATTTATATGATTTTTAGTTTAAAGCTACTATATGCACAGGATTTGTTTGTTTTTTCACAGTTTTGATTTAGAAGAAAAACCGACATGGTTAGAAAATACAAGTAATTACAACATGACAAACACAATTCTATATTAATATTCTTGTAATGGTTAGAAAGTACATAAAATAACACCATTACAAACTTAATCCCAATTTTATATTCTATTTTTAGAAATTTACCTGTGACGTCACTTATGTGGCGTTGATACATTCGTATGACGCAATATTCATAACTCATTGTGATGTACATGGGAGGTGTCCGTTGTTATTCTGTGGTTCACATTGTAATGTACTATTATATTATTTACTTATGTATTTCTCTGTCCTGAGTGTTCTTGCGTTTATTTGTACTGTATTCCTGTCATGTAATGTTGTCATTTTTTTAAATTGCCATATAAGCGGGAGGTATGGCTAGCCATAAAAGCAGGTTCAACCCACCATTTTTTCTTAATTTGTCCTGTACCAAGTCAGGAATATGGCAATTGTTATCTAATAGTCCGTTTCTATGTATGTTGGCTTTTGTTTTTGTAGCAGTTCAGTATTTATGTTGTTCCGTTGTTTTCCTCTTATATTGTTGATGTGTTTTCCTCGTTTTGGTTTGTGACCCGGATGTGTTTCAGTTAAATCGATTTATGACTATTGAACAGAGGTATACTACTATAGCCTTTATTTACCCTATATTAATTCTATTAAGGTCGATGTTTGGATAATAGCATTGGAGGTATCAAGACAAAACTCTAGTCACTATGTTATTCTATTACTGTATTTGTCATGTATATATATATATATGTGTATATCAAAATTGATCTACTTACGTCGCACTCTTATCTCAAATAAACATTCAGTTCGAAGACCATTTGATGGCTTCAGTGCTGAATAACTGACATTAAAATCTCCCCATGGAAAAGTCCATTTGCTTTCAGGATAATTTGAAAATACTTCCAAAGTTTCATTGTTTGGATCGATAAACTCAGGTACAGACCATTCCAGAGTCTTTGTCTATTCTGAAGTGAAGGCAGTCATATTGCCTGGACATGCAAACATAATTGGAGGCTCAATGTCTAAAATCACACGACGAAAACTAATAAGCAGTTCGAAATTTTCAGCAAATTTGATTTATGATAGCTATGAAAAAGCAGAAGCTATGAGATGGCTAAATCGGTTATCCGTAAAATAACATTCGAATTAAAAAAAAAACCCAAAGATAAAATCTGACATAATTTAATGTAAATTAATCATAAGGCAAGGTTAGTAGACTTGATGCTCATAAAATTGCCCAAGTAGGGTATTGGTGGGGGATAAGGGATTCGTGTGCTTGTGTGGTTGTTAAAATGATTCAAAATTATGCGGTAGTACTGAACCATTGTATTACCTTATTGATGCTAAGAAAATCGTTTAAAGAGAGTTTTCCTACAATCGAAACATTGAGAATCGTTGCTTCGTTGAAGATATTTGTTTTTAATGAAAATGAAACCAAAACGACAATTGTTTTAGGTGCCTTAGACAAGGTTGATCTTAGGCAACTTTGAAATTTCATGTAGATCCTGTTGAGCTTGGCTTTTAGGTGGTTTATGCATTTGACTCAAGATGACCATGGTTGTAACTCTGAGATAATAATGAAATTGTTAAACAAAAGTGTTGTTTCAGCTTACCTACATCACAATTTTGACCAGTCCATCCACTTGGGCAAGGCCTTTTGCCTACAATTTATGAAATTTATTTTAAATAACGACCAGTATATCAATTACATTTTGAGTTGAGTTCGGACATACTTGATATGGTCCCGTCCGTCAAAGTTATATCACTATTGAAGTTGATTATTCAAGTCATCCATATGTATTTTTTGTTGCTTTTCTTCCCATACCTTATTGCAATTTTGTTTTAAATTCACATACTAGAGGTATCACATGAACGTTAAAATGTTTACATACGGATTTGTCTTCCTTTCCATTTTTTCTATTTTTTTGTGAAACCTCAAAGCTCTTCAGCTTCACACTTGATTTGGCCTGTCAACTATTTTAATTAGAGCGTCACTGATGAGTGTTTCGAAGCTGAAACCCTCGTCTTGCATACAAAATTATCAGCCTGGTATCTTTGATGAGTTTTTTTTTTACAACAGACATGCATATATCTCTCTTCCATGTTTTCATATAACGTGATTAGTTCTAAATGATATGAATGTTCGCTTGTCTTTTTTTACCTTTTTTCGCAGATATTCGTAAACCTCTTGTTTTATCCATGTAGTGCTATTAAAATCTTGCCTGCTTACATATACTTTACTTTTTTTTCATTTATCTACATTCTGTGAAAGTCTTGTTAAATCCTGGTTATTTTTTCATCGTGTTTGAAAGAAAATGTGAAATACATGAAACATGTAGGAAAAATCATTTCTCGTTAAATTTTCAATAGCATATATTTCGATTACTAGGACACGGACCTTTAATTTTTTTTTCTAGTTAAGTTGCGTTATTTGTGTACTTTAAATTTATAACAGTCTTTTAACATTTTCAGCGAACATCCTGAATGAATTTTACCGTTGCATTCTTCAAAAGCATCATCAGTCACATCTGTTATATATATTCCAGAAGTTTTGCATGTGGCGTAAGCTGTTCCTAAGGTAGGTCGTGATAGAAGCCAATCACGGAACCAACGTATGTAACAATCACAGGTGATTAAGTTATAATGCAATTGACTGAAAGGAAAAAAGGCAACATTTATTTTTACTCTATGAAACTGACTTCCTTATATTGTATGGTCAAATTTATCACATGCTTTTCTAAGTCCATGTCTGTGTTCGAATAAATAGGTGTGGACTGTATATCAAAACAACCACAAAAATTAGCCAGTTAGCGACATCAAATGTTCGACTTACTCTGTACATATTTCAATGATAACGACTATATTGTATTTTGAAGCTATTTGTTTTATATAAATTATTCTTTAAACTATATTTTTTACTTTAACTTACATACATTATTGGAATTTTTGGGTATTTTTCCCAATGTTATTCAACAAGTTATATTCCGCAATAATCATCATGTTTATTGAAATATTCTGAACATTTCCAAAATATCATTAGCTATAGTGAACAGCGAAGTTTAAAGTGAAAAATGCCGAAAAAGTATCAAATTCCTTAGTGACAATTCGAAACACATACAACGCCAACCGAAGTTTAGCGTTAATGTATTTTTACAGCCATCAACAGAAAAAGGTATTTATTATACATTTAAATGCAAACAAAACAGTACAATGAAAAAGGAAGCTTTAAAAAGACCCTACTCAACCGATAGAATTCTTTGTTTACTTTACTTGAAAAATAATTTTGAATATTACAAAACCCTTCGAAATATAAATCAAACAAAAACGCAACCCGAAAAAATATATAAAGTATGAAGTTTTAAAGGAATAACCATTTCAATTTCAATGTCAGTTGTTAATGCAGCTAATTGTATTGCGGTAACCTTTGCTATGTTGCATCACCATAATCATATCAATCTAGTAGCCTTCTTTTAATTTGTACTTACAGTGTTGTCAGTGTTGGAAGATCCCCAAACGAGGAATTTTCAATTGTTGATATTTTGTTGTCATGGATATCTCTTAATTGAAACGAAAAATATACATTAACAAGGGTGGCAGTACTAAAATTTTATTGCACAATAGTATATTTCACATGTAGATAGCCCTCTCATATTTGAGACATTACAAACTACGATTTTTATCATTCCTACGGAAAATAATCAACAAAAGATCATAATGCCGCACTGTTTTAAATTTATTGTAACAGCTTAATCCACAAAACGATTTGAACGCAGTAATTGATATTATTTTTTAAAAGTTTAATCGAACGCGTTTTTCTTTAGCGTATCTAGCCGTTAGAACGTAACATATATTTGTTTTGGAATATAAGCACACTGAACATCGATTGCAATGCTTTGACACCACACTTAAGGAGATAATTCGGGTGTATTGCATAAAAGAACGTGTATTATGCTTGTCCTGTAAGTAATTTGCGACAGACAAGTACATGAGGTGAACGTGATTTGATTATGTTTGTCCTGTACATAGTTTGAAAAATTGAAAAGAAAAATTCAGGTTTACATATGAACTGTGTGACAAAATGTGTTTAACCTTAATACAAGCTACGCATACTTTGATACGTACATTTGTTCAAGTTTATTTACTTTCCAAAATGTATGTTCACTAAGTGTTGCTATAAAGTTACTGTAGAGATATCTGAAATGACAGTAAAAGAATACTTATATATTTTGTAGGTACTAGAACATATACACCGAATCATATGAATTTCATGATAAGGGCTTATCATTCAATAATAAAAATACTGTAAGTGTCAGTTTTCACAGCATTGTATGTTTATTGATTTTAGACTGTTAGTTGTACACATGTTTGATGATGTTTTGATTTTTCAATAGAAAGCGAAAATCAAACTGTTTGTTGGCGATGAAGTTACAGACGGTGTTGAATGTGAACTTAAGATTAATATTGAATTGTTATACACTATGATTTGAAGTTTTCTTCCTTTATCGTTTTAATGTGACATTGACGAACATCCTTTCAATCTATACGCTATTACACCATCGTACGCTGCATAAATTTGCGACGGGTGATACATTGGCGTCGAACAAGTAATTTGTAACTTGTAATATACACTACAAAAGTCAAAAAGTCTGAAAAGACCAGTTTTTGTCTGAATTTGCATAAATTTTTACTCGACATTCTTAATTTGTCTGAATAATTTTTAAAAATTCTTGACATAGTATGAATTTGTCTAATAAGGTTCTTGATTCTTCTTGACAAGTGTTTTGACAGTATGAACATTGTCTTAATATTTCTCGACACTTCCTGTATCATCTGATAAGAGTCTGGATTAGTCTCGACCAATTCTTGACGTTCTTAAATTTGTCTCGATCTGTCTTGACATATTCTTGACATTCTTAATAATGTCTGAATATGTCTCGACATATTCTTGACATTCTAAATAATGTCTGAATATGTCTCGACACATTCTTGACAGTCTTAAATATGTCTTGACACTATCTCAACAGTATAAAATTCGCCTGAAATGTGAACAGACTTATTCTGCACTGTTTATGACATTCTATTGCTGTTGTATACTCCTTTTTATTATGGCTAAACTAAACTTTGAAGAATCAAGGATTAATTTGGTATAGTAAGATACCCTTTTGGTGCAACTAAGTTGGAATACCCTGAATAATCCACCATGTAGTTTAATTTTGATTTATTTTTATTAAACATTTAAGTAATTGTTTTCACTTGGGATATAAGTCGAAGGTATTGACAAACAGCATTTAGATTTTTGCCGTTCGCAAAACTGCCAGTCAAATTTGCTTTACTAAAATAAGTGTCTTGTATCTCTTTTGGACCCCACAATTCATCTTTTGGGTGTGTGTGGCTAAAAAAAGAGGGGGGGCTTTCGTTTAGGTCAAAGAATTTGTTCCCATCTTGTTTCAAAAACCTTATTCATTTTTTAGAACAACCCCAAAACATTTTTTATTTAAATTTGAGTGTTGAATTTTATAATTTTTTAACAAAAATAAATATTTGTGATAACTCCTTCCTGAAAAAAAAAAATGTTTAGATCTATATTATGCATGTCTGTTTGAGAACCATTTCATAAGACCGATGATTTCTATAGAAATCATTGATGGGACCCATTATAAAAACATTTTTTTTATTATTCCTGGAGTAGATAATAATTTTCTTTTAATCTTTGGGATTTATTCAATTTGTTTTTATGTTGAAATAATTAACTTCATAATTTTGATGAAGAAAATCCATTTCAATTCAATTTTTTTTCATCAAAATGATGATTTTCATTTTCATCTATCAACAAACTTTTTAAATTGTAGTGGCATGGTCGGTCAACTGATAAGTTGTATGGCTGATTACAGGTAAAGCAATAACTTCTATTTGACAGTTGCTGTACTCTGGGGTGTGGAATACCTTAGTTTTATGGGGAACATCCTGTCCATGTGTAATACTTAATATATTCCAACAGATGACATTACACAAATTTTTCTTCTGTTAAATGAATGATTTGTATATCATCATAATTTGCTATTTATATAAACCACATTTTGGTATAATAATTATTTACCATATCAACATTGAATATTATGAATGTAGAATGAAATATGTCTACAGTATGATTGGTTTGAATCATTTAATTTATAAGATTTAGGAATCAAAATTTGTAATTATTTAAAAACCCATATTGAAATTGTTTTATATCAACACACCCACATTTGAATTATTTTATACTTTAGATTTCATAGCCATATTTGCATTTGTTAAAATATTTATATACCCAAATTTTCAATTATTTTACATGCCCAACTTTTATTTTTGTTGTAAAGAAGTGTAACTTGAAACAACAGTATATCATATAAAGAGAAATAAAGATTAAAGTTATATCATGAATATTGGTGATGATTTGTAAAACTCAGAACTGTCAAGTAAATTTAAGACACGATTCAAAATGTTCAGAATATGTCAAGCCATACTGAGAAAAAATAAGAATGTCGAGAATATGTCGAGAAATTTCAAGACAGTATTCAAATGTCAAGAATTTGTCAAGAAATTTTAAGACCATATTCAGAATGTCGAGAATATGTCGAGTAAATTTCATACAAATTTAATATAAATGAGAATTTGTCAAGAAAAATTAAGACACAAGTCATACTTTTGGAGAATGTCGAGTAAAAGTTCATGCAAATTAAGACAAAAACTGGTCTTTTCAGACTTTTAGACTTTTGTAGTGATAATATGCTTAAGACTTGTATATGTTCTTCGATAGTATTTCAAATTTGTGATTATTGCGTGCTCAATTGCTATAAATCTATCTTTTTATATTTTTTTCGTTGATGCGGTTCATTATACATAAAGGATACAAGTAATAATCAACAACAACAGTTTTGTATCCAGTATTATTATTTTCACGCAATGTACATTCAATAATAAAATGATACTTACAAGATTCTTAACGATGTAAGGTTCGAAAAAACATTCGACGGGAGACTCTGTAATTGGTTTTGCGAAAAGTCCCTGGACAAAATTAAATATTCTATAATTAATGATACTATGGATTAACAATGATTAAAATCACTAAATACATGTATGATTGATACGGCAAACATATGATACAATGTCTTTTAATGATAGTAAATGAGGGCTGTATACCTACCCGACAACAAGATAACACAAAGATATCAGTACAACTAACTTATCCTGTAAATGGGACCTTTTATAGCTTCCTATGCGCAATGGGTTTTGCTCATTGCTGAATGCCGTAGAGTGACATATATTTGCTTAGTTAAGGCGACAGTAGTTAACTGATGTTCAAATCTCGTAAATCGATTAGGAAGAGACAAATCAAGGTAACAAACAAAAACTGAGGGAATCGCATATACCCCCAAACCAGGCCATGTGCTTCGACATGGTAAGAGTCTCTTACTATTAAGTAGCTCTTCTTTATACTTCTGTTGCAGTAGCTTTTGTGTAAGTAGCACCCACTGTTTAATAAAGTCAATATAGATTGAGCATTCCCGACTGTAACGTATTAACTGAGATATGTAAACGCCATACAATGGAACAGATTATATGTTACCGCTGAGAAGTGGGAAGTTGGGAATTGGAAAGTTGAAATCATCACGTTTGTCATAGTTTATAGTTTGACGTCTTACATCTGTGTCAATACCGCGGAAAAGATCAAGACATGAGGAAAAGACGATACTTATATTTTTAAATTCATCAACACGTCGGAGGCTTACATAGTTCTCCGTAAATGGTTAATTATGATTATAATATACTTACAATATCTCCTTGAACCGTAGGTAGGTAAAAATTTCGGTTGTTAGGTACGATACTCTATTATTCTGAAGATATCTGAAAAGAGAACATAATTCATTATATCAATTACAATCAATATCATCACTTAAACTTCTCTCATATCTAAACTTTAAAATTAGAGATAATATTCATAACATATATGAATAAAGTTAAACCAGAAGTGGCATCGACCAATTGGTTTTAAAAACTCAGCCAATATACCAGGCTAACCGAATGAAGCGTATGCTTCCAAACTAAAAATGTCACGTAAAGTTTTTCTATGGATCTTTCAGTTCCATTTATAATGTAACAGGATTCAGGAATGAAAATACCCTAAAATTATACATACATGTACATTCTTGAAAGGACTTGACACAAATCATTTAAAAACCTATTCCAAATACTAAAATTTGATTTTGATTTTTGGTGTTTTCACACCACTTTTAAGCACCGCTTTTGGGCTATTTCGTGGCGGCTAGTTTTTATTGGTGGAGGAAGACGGAGTGCCCGGAGAAAACCACCGACCTTCGATAGGAAAACTGACAATCCTAGTCAATTAAGATTGGAGTCGAGTGCACCCGCACGAGCGGAGTTCGAACTCACAACCTCAGTGTTTACTGGCTAGTGATTATAGTAGTAACTACTTAGACCACTCGGCCACCGAGGCCCCTCCAAATACTAAGTAAATCAAACTGACAAATAACTAATTAACTTAAACGATGCATGCATTTTTTGAATTAGATAATCGCAACTCTCGTTATTTCGTACACAGGACGCTCTTTGCGTCTATTTCAGACAGTTCAAGTCGTTGAGGAAGTCATTGGCAGTTAGAAATTATGTTTATGGCATGCATATTTTATTATGTCTCGGGTGTATGTAAGGTCTTTATTTCTCCATGTTCATAACTAGTTTTCACTTAAACGTTTAACGCATTTGTATTTGTGTATAATAATGCTTAAGCCATGTAAGCGGTAGAGAAAGCATATTTATTACTTAGCATGTTTAATGCTCTACAACTTTGTATTTTCTTTGGCCTTCTAACTGTTGTTATTCAAACGACACTAATGAGTATGATGTAACTAAACGCACGTCTGGCGTTCAATATTATAAGCATAGTATCTTTGATCAGTTCCTAAAACAGTTTTGGGCAATTATATGCTAGAATAAATGGTGACAGTTTTTTACCCTAGAGCAGCTTTGAGAAGAACTGTTCCAGAACAAGTTAGAAGAACAGTCATATAACATATTATTCTAACTGTTTTGAATAGATTATAATTAGACATTAAATCAGCTGTATATCCGCAAGTAGTATATACTAAATCAGCTCAGGGGCCTATTCGGGATTTTCCGTAAAGCAAATAGCAAATGTAACATAAAACCGTATAAATATCAGTAGAGTACATTGTTATCATATGAGTATTGCATTAACCAATCACAACGCTTAAGGGCTCATGTTATAGTATCAAAGGTGATTCCACATGTATATCGTTTATATTTAGATTATATACAATGTCTCAGTAAGGCATATCAAGTGAAAAAGAGCTAGCAATTGTATGTTAAAAATTCGTATCAAAGATACTACGCTTATAATGTTGTACGCCAGACGCGCGTTTTGTCTAAAAAAGACTCATTAGTGACACTCGAATTAAAAATAATAAAAGGTCAAATAAAGTTGAAGACCATTGAAGAACGTGCAAAAGTCCGAAATGGTGTGCCTATAGGTAAGGTAATCTATTTCTAGAAAATCACTAGTATTTCGAACGATTCAACGTTTAGTAAACAGTTATTCTATAAATGGTATTATCAGATTGATTATCATTATAAGCTAGATCAAAATGCTATGTACATATTCATATTGCATAATGTTCTAATACCTATTGTAACTTACAATTCCCGAAGCTGATGAAGACCACTGAAAACATCTGTATCGTATTCTTGTATGAAATTTTCATATAAATATCTGAAAGCATGTTGGTTTTTTTATTGGAAATAAATATTTATTTGGAGAATAACATAAAACATTGGTTTGATATCATGCTAATATCATTGTGAAATAGATAATGGCAAATTGTCATTAACGTTTATTGTGAAAATAAAGAAGAATACATGTACATAATGCGACATTTTATCGACATCATTCTAAACCTCTTTTCAATTGTAATGTTCATACTTAGATGCTTTCCAGATCATATGTTTTCTTCCGACCAAAAGTCGTTGGCTCTGTCTTACTAAGTGCTATAATAATAACGTATTCACAAAACTACTTCGACTAAATACTCTTTAATTTGTTGTAGATTGTCTCAGAGAGTTGGAATATTAGTTTCTTTTAAAGTATGTAAGTATTTAATTATCTAAAATGGAGAGTATAATTAGTTTCTTATATGACAACATCTATTTACAGCTTTGGTGTGTCACTAATATACTTACAGGACTTGCAACGACTTCAGGTTTGAAAATATATTTTCTGGGAGCGTTGTTATATTGTTTTGTTGTAAATGCCTGGAATTCAAAGCAGAAGAAATATCATTTGCAGGTGAATTAAACATCGACTAATGAACACTGTGTTGCTAAGATGTTTTTCTAACCTTTGACAGAAAGCGTTTGTATGTAAAAGTTAAGATAATTAATCAGCTAGTTCATTTTTATGATTGTTAGTTTAAAGCAACTATATGCACAGGATTTATTTGTTTTTACACAGTTTTGATTTATAAGAAAACCCGACATGATTAGAAATTACAAATAATTACACCATTACTAACACAATTCTATATTAATATTCTTGTAATGGTTAGAAAATACAAAAAATAAGACCATTACAAACTATATTCCAATCTTATATTCTATTTTTAGAAATTTACCTGTGACGTCACTTTTTGTGGCGTTGATACATTCGAGTGACGCACCGTTATATGGTGTACTGTCGTTAATTAATGGGAGGTGTCCGTTGTTGTTCTGTGGTTTACATGTTGCAATGTACTATTATGTTAGTTATTTATGTATTTCTCTGTCATGAGTGTTCTTGCGTTTATTTCTACTGTATTCCTGTCAAGTAATGTTGTCCATTTTAGCGGTATTTTTAACATTACCATATAAGCGGGAGATTTGGCTAGCCATAAAATCAGGTTCAACCCACCATTTTTCTCTTAAAATGTCCTGTACCAAGTCGGGAATATGGTAGTTGTTATGAAATAGTCCGTTTCTATGTATGTTGGCGTATGTTTTTGCAGCAGTTCAGTGTTTCTGTTGTTCCGTTGTTTTCTTCTAATAGTTGATGTGTTTCCCTTGGTTTTGGTTTGTGACCCGGATTTTTTTTCGCTTAATCGATTTATGACTATTGAGCAGTGATATTCTACTGTTGCCTTTATTTGTGAACAGAAAAAAAATCAAGAGGAAGATAAAAAGATAAGTTACTTTTGAAGCCTATTTAAAATGAAAACAAATCATATAACTCTTATTTGTACAATATTTGGCTGATTACAAAATCGTTATACAGTATATGTACATTGTAGGAAAATTTACAATTCATTTATTACCAGCCCAATAGCTAATACTTTTGTGATGGCACCAAAGTACTGACATGAACATACGGATATTGTGTTAATCAAATTTGCTGGTATCAAATTTAAGAAATGATTTACAATGAGGAATAGATCTCCCTCAGCCAAAGCTCTGAATCCGTGCCTGTCTTTGGATATACTTTTTGTTCTTTTTGGTTTGTGAGCTTTTGTTTTTTTAATAGATTTGGATTAAAAAAAATTTGGTTAATGTTAATTATAATCTGTAGAGTTTTAAGAACAGGAGAAAAAGTTATGCTTGTCGAGGTTTTCTCTATCGCCTACAGTACAACACATTTGTATATCTTCCGATAATATATGTAACTCTATGATTTGTTTTCATGTAAACCTTGACTTGAAGATTTTTTTTTATAAAGTCCCGAGCGTTGTCTGTGAATGAATTTTGACGTAAACAATTATGTTAATATTACCGTTTGTACAACATAGAATATGATAGAAGGAGAAGTTATTTGTATAATAAACATTTTGAAGTAAAATATTTTGTATACCTATTAGTCATGTTAGTTATATAAAAGATGGCCGATTGTAGAATAAAAGGTTCACATCTTGTACGATCTGACTTGTTAGCTGGTTTTAATAATCAATAATCAAATTAACTAACTAACTGTACACCCTTACTTAAACACATATGACATGTGCATGAGATGCATGTAGATTTAAGTCTCTGTGAAATATTCTCTTTATTTTTAGACTCGATCGGGCTCAGCATATAGTAAAGATATACCTGTCTATATTTGCGACCATAAGTTGTACTCAAGATGTCTTTTTATGTATTACTGGACATATATTTCATAAAATATTTAGTTTAAGTTACGTTGCAATTTAGAAGAAATATTATAATGTCCAATAATTATTTATATGTACAGGTACAAAACGAACAAACATGTCACATGAAACTGATTCAATGAAATGCAATGGCATGTGAAATGTTGATATTTTGTGATAACATGAATGATTACCAATTTAAACTATTAGACAGTACAACAGATATCAACAGTCCACGTTTATATTCGGAAGGGTGGTACTTACAATTCTGTTAATTTATCTAAATTTTGAAAGACTGTTCTGTCAAGGTTTCCAATCACATTATCACCTAACTGTCTGAAAAAGTGAATTAATTATCCTTTATTTTAGATGGAAGTAGTATTTCACGAGACAGGTATGTTAGTTGGTGTCAGACAATAGAGGTAGAGAAACAAAGAAGTGAATTTTCTTGTACTTTGGCCGTATATGAACGATTAACGTATGTCTGTCCGTACCTTTTTATAGATAAATATGCTAGAACTGTGTGAAAGAACATGACATACTAGTACCAAGAAAAACAAGGTCATGTGAACAACCGTCACGGTTTATATTTGTACTTTAATGAAACTGTTATAAATCTATTTTGGGATACTAATACTTAATATCAGTAGCTGTACAATTAAAATATTAAGTCTTGACTACAAGTACATTAAATAAAAGTCATAGCCGACTGTTGGATAATTCTGAAAAAATTTATTCAATACTCTATATTTGATTTATAGCTTCGCATATAAAGTATTGTAATTTATCAAAGACCGCAATATGTTGACGTTTAGGAGTCGTTGTTTTGTGGCATTCGGTTGCTGCCTGGTTGAAGTTAAAGCTACAAATCGTTTTGTATATGATTAAAATCAGTTAAAAATATGCATTAAATCATATTTTGTATATTTACAAATTTTATATAAATAGCTGAAAAAATCAATGCATGGCTTCTTGTCTTTTTATTTGCTTCGAAATTATACATGTCTTGTGTATTTTTTGGAATGCAGAAAGAAAAGTAAGAAGAAAACAAAATATATAGATATGATATCTGAGAAGTTTATCGAGATAGCAATGATACCATAACAATCAAATAGTCTAGTCTAACATGCCTGGTGAGTGGTCTAAGTCAGGTATATAACTGCTTAACCTTCTGGATCACCTGCGTTCACTCTCTATTTTTGGTGGGGTTCTAGTAAATCTGTGTTTAGATTTCTTTGTTACAGTAATGTTTTGTTATTGTTGTTTGTCCTTTCTTCGTTTTTATTTTTGACTATGGCGTTGTCTATTTTTTTTTTTTTAAACTTTTTTGGAGATGTTCAAATACTCCCTTGGTATCGTTTATCTCTTTAACAGAACATGCCACGGTATGACAATGAATCTTCGTTCATTATTGTCTTTTTTTTTAAGATTCGTTATATTATTTACATATTACATTTAATCCTAAAATTACAGAAATGCATTTTGTACAATTATAATCTAAATGTATTAAAAAGACCTACAGTATTTCCAAATTGGTTAAGTTATAAAACACTTCTCTGTGAACGTCTTTTATTGAATTGCTGTATAAATATCTGAAATATACAGTTAGAAAAACATGAAATATACAGTAAGAAATACATGAAATATACAATTAAAATTATCTCAAATATACAATTTTAAATATCTGAAATATACAATTATAAATATCTGAAATATACAATTATTAATATCCAAAAAATACAATAATAAATACCTAAAATAAACAATTATGAAAAAAAAATACAATTATAAATATAAAATATAGACAGTATTTAATGAGAAAACAAGTAAACTAAGTTCACATATTTCTTTTTGCTTTGAATAACACGTATTCGTTATTAAGATATTGCTGAATGGTTTATGTTTGCCTTAATATTAACATCTGCTTCTTTTATAAACTCTGGTAATCTTAAATTACAGTTATATACAGACGACTAAACCCAGGGTGCATTTTTAAAATCATGTTTTGATAATTTAAGTTAAAAGTACGATTTTACCTTGCCATTACAATTTTTCTTTTTCAAATGGAGAAGGTCTTGTCACATCCTGTGGCGTGTACACTGTACATAACACAACTTATATGGTTGTATAATACATAGTTACCTTTTGTTTTTCTTTCTTTTTTCAAAAATATGCTGATATAAAATTACCATGTCTACAGCATGCATATATGCTAGGGTATGCCTATACGGTCAGTTTGCTGAACAAACAGGGAAATGGTGAAGCAAATTATAATCAAATGCTAGTTTTACATTCCGTATCTAGGAGTAATACCACCATTGATTTTTCCCAATTAGTCTTTGTTAATATTAGTTTAATTGACAATTTTCAAATTTGTGCAGATTTTATCGTTTGTTTTTTTTCAAATAAAAAAATGCTTAGCATGAGTAAAGTTTTATCCTGTCCAGAACTAGAGTGAAAATTTCACATAACATTTAATTGCATATAAGTTAATAACAATCACCGGAAGTAAACCAATCAAATTTTCACCTCTTTTTTCTGTTAACAAGCTTTATTAATCATGTCACCTGATGTTTCCAAAATATTTTATACAAACTGCCAAAAAAAAGTATGATGATTTAAACAACCCAAGTGTATGACTCAATTTTTTTTCCTGCAATGAAATACAGGGTGACTTTCCTACAACTGGATGTGACGGATTATGATTTGGTGGTATCACATCTCTACAACAGATTACTACTGTATGAAACATGTGAATTATAAAAAGTGTTTGAATTTCACCAATTTTACTTTTTGTAACAGTTGACCTGGTCATAATAATTGATCGTATCATAGGAGCATTTTGACAATAGTTATCCAAGGTACCAGGCTTATAATTTGATACGCCAGACGCGCGTTTCGTCTGCATAAGACTCATCAGTGACGCTCAGATCAAAATTGTTAAAAAGCCAAACAAGTATAAAGTTGAAGAGTATTGTAGACCAAAAATTCCAAAAAAGTTGTGCCAAATACGGCTAAGGTAATCTATGCCTGGGATAAAAAAAATCCTTAGTATTTCGAATAATTCATAATTTTGCAAACAGTAAATCTATAAAAATGACCATATAATTGATATTCATGTCAACACCGAAGTGCTGACTACTGGGCTGGTGATACCCTCGGGGACGAAACGTCCACCAGCAGTGGCATCGACCCAGTGGTGTAAATAGTTATCAAAGGTACCAGGCTTATAATTTGATACGCCAGACGTGCGTTTCGTCTGCATAAGACTCATCAGTGACGCTCAGATCAAAATTGTTAAAAAGCCAAACAAGTATAAAGTTGAAGAGTATTGTAGACCAAAAATTCCAAAAGTTGTGCCAAATACGGCTAAGGTAATCTATGCCTGGGATAAGAACATCCTTAGTATTTCGAATAATTCATAATTTTACAAACAGTAAATTTATAAAAATGACCATATAATTGATATTCATGTCAACACCGAAGTGCTGACTACTGGGCTGGTGATACCCTCGGGGACTAAACGTCCACCAGCATTGGCATCGACCCAGTGGTGTAAATAATGTTATACGCCAGACGTGCGTTTCGTCTGCATAAGACTCATCAGTGACGCTCAGATAATAATTGTTAAAAAGCCAAACAAGTATAAAGTTGAAGAGTATTGTAGACCAAAAATTCCAAAAAGTTGTGCCAAATACGGCTAAGGTAATCTATGCCTGGGATAAGAAAATCCTTAGTATTTCGAATAATTCATAATTTTGCAAACAGTAAATTTATAAAAATGACCATATAATTGATATTCATGTCAACACAGAAGTGCTGACTACTGGACTTGTGATACACTCGAGGACGAAACGTCCACCAGCAGTGGCATCGACCCAGTGGTGTAAATAGTTATCAAATAGTTGACAAAATTATATATGTTCAAAGAAGATATTGGCATTTTGTTCAATTTTTTTTATTGTTTTTACATATGGTTAAAGATGAGTGTTTTGTAAAGCAGGGTTCGATTTTCATCATCAGACTATACAAAATAATTATGACATATAATAAGCACTGATATTTTTCTGCCCCTACAATATGCCACAGCCCTCAAGTACCATCAAACATGATCATGACGAAGTCCACAACGCAGGGTCAACAATTCATAGTAACTTTTACAAATACTACATACTTTCAAAAATAAGTACAGTCGTGATTCTGTATGAATGAATTCACTTGTAAACAATTATTTGACTCCTTTTTTACATTTTATTGTTGTTATGGTCGTAAAGTAAACTAAAACATTAAAAAAATAAAATAATGTATCAGACTAGGGAAAACTCCAATACACTTATCTTTAAACAGCAAGAGTTACAACTGGAATAGACTCTTTAATTCAGTAAACAATAAAGTTTGCGTCCTAGCTTCTCGCCAATACAGACGATTTAAATAAGTCGTAAAACCTGTAACACATGTGTAAGGAGCGTTACTTTTTATTTTTATTTTCTTGAGAAGTAGTATTCAACAAACAGTACTAGTCGAGGCGACCTCACATACCTTTTCGTAGAAGCAAGTACATTGTTAACTTACTCTTCAAATTATGTCCCGTCCTATATTCCTTTGTTGGAGTTCATTGTCAACTTATTGTTTTCTTCACTGCCCTGGTATTATTTTGAATCTTACTTTTTAGAATTATTATCGTCAACATAGGCAATAGGGGAGGTTTGTGCACGTTTATAATTGTTCACACTATCATAATTCTTGCATGTACAAAGTCAGGCTACCGAGAACTGGTGTTGTTCGTTGTTGCTTGTCTTTGTTTTAACCTTATCTTTTTGGCAACTTATAAGCAATTTACCTTTAGACATATCGTCTCTCACACTACAAACTGAAAAGACCATATTTTGTGCTCGCCCAGTAAGGTCGAGCACATATTTTACTTGAAAAGACTCGACATAATCTCGACAGTACTTAACTGTACTCAACTTTTCTCGACTTTGGTCTCGATTTTACTTAATAAGTCTGGTTGAGTACTTGATAATCTTGGTATAGTCTGAATATGGTCTCGACAAATGCTCGACCAGTCTCGACCAGTTTTGAACTTTAAATTTAGTCTTGACTGGTCTGAATCAGCCCATCTAACTCCATTATATATTGATCTTACAAAGTTCCAGGTTATTTGGTATTTTGTTCATTGCTGTCAAATTCAAGGATTTGATTAAATTCAGGTGGTCAACTGTAACTATTTCTATAACTTTTTTCAAATCAACTTGGATTTTCATAAAACTCTACAGCTATCTCAACTATATATTGATCTTACAGAATGCCAGGTTGTATGATAGTTTGATATATTGCTGTCAAATTAAGGATTTTTTAAAATTAATAGGTAAAAAAAAAAAAGGTAAAATTTTCAGTTTTTACTGAATTCAGATAGATACCTATAAATTGAATCTTTAAATTGGACAGCAATAAACCAAACTACAAAATAACCTGGTAATTTGTAAGATCAATATATAAACGAGATAGCTATATATTTTGATGAAAATCCAAGTTGATTTTGAAAAAGTTATAGAAATGTTTAAAGGTGACTATCTGAAAATTCTAGCCTTTTTACCTATTAAATAAATTCTTAAAGTTGACAGCAATACACCAAACTACAAAATTACTTACTGGTCGAGGATAAAATATTTTCAGAGTCTGAGCAGTTTGTAGTGTCAATAATGTATATCAAAGTCAGTATGTGGCAACATTTTAGGCGTTTACGAATCTTATTTATGGAGTCTATACCAATTATTTGTAGACTATTACCACAACCAATTTTGATCGGAAACTGTCATTTTCATCTTTACAGTTCTTAAAATACTAAACAATAAATGATTAGATAATGTCCAGTCTTTCGGTCAGTTTTCAAATTTATCTACGGCGATACATTCAGTACTGTAAATACAATTCGCTTGCAGTCAATTAAGATATGTTCAGCCTTTGTTCAGACTATTCAGTACACATGTAACAAACTGAATTATCTGAAAAGCTACTTAAAAGTCCTCAATTGATTGCGATCCAATTGTCTAAACCGTACTGAATTTACAGCAGTCGTTAAGTCTGAAAAAAACTACCGATTGGCTGAACATGACTTAATTATTCATTGTTCAGACTTTTCAGATGTTATTAGAATCAAAATGACCGTTAAAGACTAAAATACATTGACAAATGCACGTGCGTTGTCCCTTTACAAATGTGAGTCATTCCGACAATCGTGTCGGTCTAGTTCCTGGAAGATATTTGCATGTAATATTGAATACACTATTTAACCAGTATTTATCAATCCATCTGTTTTCACATTGTTGTCTGTATTTTTCAATGTACTTACAATTCATTAAGCGATGACAATCCTGGGAAGGAATCCTGGTTCAGCATTTCGATGATGTTACTAAACAAGTACCTGAAACATATTTGAACCTAAAATATAGTCAGTTGCTCATGCACATGGTTTAGTTGTTTAGCGTGTCACTGTTTTTAAGGTAATGAGACAGATCGTTTTTTTTTTTAATATTTATTATCAAATTAAAAAGAGTAAAGGGTATTTCGCACTCGATGATATAGTGTGGACCTAATAGTGTCTCTTTCGATAGAATAATTGGGTTAGATTTTTACATTCTCAAACTTTAAACATGATCTTAAAATGGAATGAGCATGGACATTCTACTTTCGTTTTATTACTGTTTTGTGTTGAAGCGATGGGCAGTCATTTATTGGTATGAATAAGGAAATGCAACAGTAGTAGAGGAAAACAATGGGACAACAGAAACACTGAACTGCTACAAAAAACAAACGCCACATACATAGAAACGGACTATTTGATTACAACTGCCATATTCCTGACTTGGCACAGGACATTTTAGGAACAAATGGTGGATTGAAAATGGTTTTATGGCTAGCCAAACCTCCCGCTTATATGGCAATGTTAAAAATACCGCTAAAATTACAATATCACGTGACAGAAATACAGTACAAATAAACGCAAGAACACATTTGAAAATGTGTGATTACTATGCTACACTCAAATGAGAAATATGAACAAAATGTTACCTTTCTCTTCTGACCGAAGCTAGTAGGAGGTGATTGACCGAAGTACAAAATACAACATCCCTAATATTATACAAACAAAAATATCAAAGCCGTCTTCTTTGTATATTAGTGATCAATAACACCTACCACTATCGGTTACTAACTTATACTATACGATTGTCTATTATATATATATATATATATATATAAAGGTACACCGATATGCATCATATGTTCATTTGTATATATAAAATAGGCGTCTTCATTGCAACCCTTCGGTAGCCGAGAGGTTTTGTCGAAGTGTTGATGTCAGTCACACTTAAGAGATTTAAAGGAGGGTCTCGATTCCCAGTGAAGGCAAATAAAAATTACAAAAGTAAAAGTTAGGTTTTTAAATTAATTCCATTAGTGAACAGAAATCAGTAAATCATTCAATTCAAACTTAATGAAATTAGGCACACAAAGGAAACAATTGAAATAACTTGGTGAGTTCATTTCGTTGACAGATTTAGGAAGCGCTGATTCTAGAAAAAGAATCTACGGTAAATAATAGGCTTACGTCATGGCAATGGTCTAAAGAGCTGACAATCTCTTGAATAGTTGGTGGTTAACAAATTAATGTATAATTGTCAAGCGTAACTTGGTTTGAAGATTAGATTTCTATGATGCAAATATTTTCTACGTTGATGTTTCCAGTGCTTTTTAGATGAATTCGGAATAAAAGAATATGGAACTGAAAGATACTGGATAATTAAACCCAGTAAAATGGACACCGTGTTTTTGACGTATATAGTCAGCAGATTCTATTATATATAGATGATACTATAAAAACAGATTCAAGGTATACAGCAACCAAACGACACAGACAATACAAAGATAGCCTCATATTTCCTTAACAATAAACATGTGTCCAAGACATAAAATGGTTATTGCTCCGATGGAGGACTTCTTTTAAATGAGAATATCTGTCGTGTCAAACATTGAATTTCATCGCATTGTTATAAATAAACACCAATTTTCAAACTATGACTATCGTGTGGTTGTTATTTTGTAACTTTGTTGTTGTTTTATGACCCTTTTATTCAAAAGCAATATTGTAAATTTGTTTTACGGTTCTTTGTTAAGTTTATCACTTATAGTATTTTCGTATTGTATCAATATTTTTTATACATCGTTCATTAACCTTTGTTATGGTTATCTAACTGCCTACTGATTAAAATTGTAAATATATTCGAATCTTAATATTACCCACGACATGAACATTTCGTCTTGGCACATTGTGCATTCGATATGAATGACTCAAATCAAAAGGATTAAGCACATATATACATGCAGCCGATATTATGTTATACATCTATATAATGTGGTGTCATACACAAGACACCAAAGGTAAAAATGTTACAACTTCACTGTTAACTTTCGGTTCAAATGAACAGATCAACTTTGACCTATAATTGTTAACTTTTTATACATTCTGACTTGGATGGTTATTTGTCTCATTGGCACTCATACCACATCTTCTTACTTAAATAGAAATGTTGAAAACTTTTAAATAAGATACTCTATGAAACTTTTTTTCAATAAACACGAATTGAATTTAAAGTAAACGTTACCGTCCATTTGATTAGTATGAAACATCTTGAAATGATTTAATATAAATCTATAGAGTTCTACATAGCAATCTCATTTTAAAACTTACAGTTTCTTAACATAAGTTGGAATATTTTGTGGCACTATGTTTGGTCCCTTTGTATTACAGTCAACATTTCCTCCCTCTGACACATCTTGGCAATAACAAGAAGTCGGACAAGCATTGCTTGAGTTAATACAACAGCTGACCAACATCATGAAGAAACATTTCCGTTGAAGAAATCTCATTTCTAGAAAGAAGTACAATGTTGAGGTCATATTTGTTGTAATGTTAAAAATGTTTACTGACAAGCGTATACATTTGATTTATTTCAATATACGTTAATCTTTTAAAGTCAACATTTCCTCCCTCTGACACATCTTGGCAATAACAAGAAGTCGGACAAGCATTGCTTGAGTTAATACAACAGCTGACCAACATCATGAAGAAACATTTCCGTTGAAGAAATCTCATTTCTAGAAAGAAGTACAATGTTGAGGTCATATTTGTTGTAATGTTAAAAATGTTTACTGACAAGCGTATACATTTGATTTATTTTTAATATACGTTAATCTTTTAAAGTGACATGTACAGTCATAGAACTTTCTTTCCTACATGGACATGTAGGTTCCAATTATTTTGTTTTGCATGGTTTGATTAACATTTTATAATTGATGATTGTTGAATTAATTTTAAACCAATATTACGTTTTACATTTATATATATATGTATCGATGTGAGGGCTTTTAATTTTTTATATGATGTTAACTTTTTCAGTAGATGATTAATTGCTGCATACGTCCTGTGGTGTAAATACAAAGTGTTTCCGATAATACTTTTAACGATAGAAATCTTTGGATTTGAGCCTCGGTATAAACATATCAATATTATGCTTCTTTGAAAAAAAATATCCCATACGCAACTTCAACAAAATTGTAAGAACTTATTAAAGATACAAATCCTATACTTTGGTACGCCAGACGAATTATCTAATCCGTTTCAATTTAAAGACGTATCTGATCATTGATTTGTTTTCTAGATAGCAATAGGCATTAGGTACAATATATTTGGAACTAAAATCTATATATTTTCTTAACATCGTAGATAAGGAACAGTGTACTTACTTTCGTTTCATGTAAATGTAGGTACCAGGTATTTTTGAGAATTTCCTGCTAAATAAGGAAGTTGTGTTTGTATGAATTACATATCAGTACACAGAATTGCATTATGTAGCACACACAAATTATATATTCATAGTGTAAAATTTAAAGGTTTTAAATACCTTAAAAATAGTTATATTTATATTGATGTTATTTATTGATTTTTAAAACATATTCAATCAATTGCATGACTAACAGTAATACATGTTGCGAGTTATTCCATTATTTATCGCATTACGCTTAATGATGATGTAGATTTTGTCATGAATGAATAGTTGAGGGTCTTATAATCGTAGTGTTAGCTCAATTGATGTTTAAGATGGAAATAAGACTAATTTCCGTTCAAATGCCCCGACAAAGTAACAGCGGCAAAATAAGCATCAATATATTAAAGTTAGTTCAAACCTTCGACCTCATCTGATAAACTAATAATGCATTCAGTGTACATCATGGGCGATAGGACATATTATGAAAAGATATGTAATTATAAAAAACTTAAAGAGAAAATATCGTCTAAACGCTCACAGCCGAAAGAGTTAGTAGTTATCATGTATTTGTGATTATAATATTGTACTATTTATACCAGCGTTTTATGTCAAGTGTTTAGATAATTAAATTTTTCGCCGCATAACTGTAGTGGACACACTTTACGGTTTGCAAGATGGAACACAATATGTATCATTAAATTATTTATATAGCATGCACGTATAAATGTTATTGTGCCTTAGAAACTCACATTAATATTATACTGAAGTCTTTTTTTTTCACATTTAAACAAATCATGACAAATGATGCTCTATGTTATAAGGTTTTATGTCAAGCCAACATCCTTGTTCATTGTTATTAAAGGAATGAAACTTAATTTTAAAGTTTACTATAATTTCCCTTATCTGTATTTCATTTGGAAAATATCAAATAATACAAATATATAAAATATTAAATATCATTACGTTTGAAATCAATGAAACAGACTTCCAACTTATTCAAGAATTAGAATATTGGTTTATTTTGAGAAGGTTAGGGAAATGGATTAGTACCAATTTTCTGCACCAAATGTCAATTTCGACAATTAATGTCTCTTCATTGATACTCGGAGTTAAACTATTTAAGAATTGAAAACCAAATATAAACGTTCAAGAGCATATATGTACTACTCATCGAAATTTTTACAACACTTCCAATGAGATTAATTGGGATCCAACATTCTAGGCTCAAATCTTTGTAAAAATTGCTCAAATCATCTAAAATCAGTTATCTCGTTTTGAATTGTTTCACATTTTTCATGAAGGGAGGCCTATACCCGACTATCATTGTTGAAGCCGGACAGTCCTCTTTATTTGCTTATATGCACTTCGTTTGATCTTTGGTGGGTATTGGTATCGTTAGAAATCGTACCACATCTCCTTATCTTTATGAGTGTTCTTGTTCATTGTTCACTTTCACAGAATACACACCGTTAATTTTGTGCGTCATATGCATTTTATTTTAACTAAACCATGTGCAAAAAGATGTGTAATATGAGTAGTTTCCTCAAAGCTTGCGAACATTGTAGCTGTTTGAAATCTTACCAGCATAATTGTTTTTAGTAAGATACAACCGAAAAAGACCAACATGTTTAGCCATACATGGACAAGGAGTCAGGGCTATTGATAAGGTACATAAAATGTGATAATTTCAGTTAAAATCCAGACCATACATTTGTAGCTATATGTATTTACCTCAAATACGAAACAGTTTTATTTCAGTCAAACAGTATGCTTCGAACAGACTAACTTATTTTTTTACAAATGTGTATCACACAAAACTTCACCTTTTTATTTCAAAACTATTTTGGTCGAAGGGTACAGCCAATGTGTCCAAAAGTAAATAGACACACCTTTAAAATGCATTTATTAAGCAAATGTGATTACAGACCTGTGCTTTCGGTCATAAAACTTTACTCAGTACTCGGAGTACAAAATTTGTGCTCGAAACACCTAATCCAATAATTTGATTGGTTGATTTCTGAGTCTGAGTACGATAATCGTTCTCGAAAGTTTTATGACCGCAAGGCCAGAATATCGAATTTCTTGATTATTTTGAATCGGGTACTGAAAAGCACGTTCTTAGCAGAGATATGTGTTTTCGATATGATTTCGATTATTTTAGAAAGTTTAGATATCTTTTCATTTGTAATATTAAATAAATCTTAATTCATTATAGGGAAACGCAAAGAGATTATGCTCGTCCTACTCCAATTAAAGACTTTCAGCATTGGGAGTTAACAAAGTTTATCCAGATTTCAAAAATTCTTCTGAAATATGCAAGATCACTAGAAAAAAAAAGTTATAATACATCAATTTGATCTATCTTTTACACCAGTATTACAACAATAAGATACATATGCATAATCATCATCTATAGTATAAGTAATAATTTTAAATTTTTCTATAGCAGTCTAAAACTTCAATGTTAAATACGCTTTTAATGCATATAGTAATTATCTACTTGTTCATACTCATCTTTTATCACTCTGGTAGGAATTACATGAACACCTAGGACAAAATTAAGGAATGCATTGGCATTCTGGTCCTACCACATGTATCTGTGTGTTACGTCTATGTTATATAGGCACCTACATTTTAATATTGTATTTATACTGTGTCATAGATCAAACTCATTCGCTCAGTGTATGTATATTGCTTTTGTTTAAATGTCTTTTTGATCGAGTTAAGCCATTTCAATAGATATTTTATAGTGTGTCTTTTTATGTTGTAATATTTCACTACTGTCTCAGGTTAGGGTGAAGGTTGGTGCCTGTTAAAACGTTGAAACCCGTTGCATTTGTATGTACCTGTCCCAATTCAGGATCCTATTATTAAGTTGTTGTCGTTTGTTGGTGTGGTTCATATGTGTGTCTCGTTTCTCGTTTTTTTTATATACATTAGACCTCATCTTTGTACTTTGACCTATAATTGTTAACTTTTTATACATTGTGACGTGGTTGGAGAGTTGTCTCATTGGCACCCATACCACATCTTCTTATTTATAGTAATATGACATCGAACATGGGAAGCGTCAGTAGAGGTTTCAGATATAATTGACATGTAAGGGCCAGACAGGACATGTTGTATAGAATTACAAGGTAAATAACAACCTTTAGACAATGGAGAAAATTTTTCATTTGATATGCATGTTATTTTCTCTAAAGCAGTCAGTAGATTTTTCCAAGCTTTTGGCATTATATGGAGTATAGAATGATATTCTAGAAATATAAGTTAAATGTTAATTTTTTTGCTGAATTCCTGCAAAGTAAAAAAAATCACTGTTATCATCAATTAGTAAATCACCTATAAAAAACTCATGATTAACACCAACAACAAAAAAGAATTTCATTATTCATTATCAGGTAATTATTTAGCCATATGCAAAAGCTACAACATTTGTAAAAATCTTTTGGATACCATCAAGGGTCATTTGTAACCCTTGTATATTGTCATTTCATCACTGGTTTCAACCATTGGGTTTGACCGTTTCTGATGAACGTAAGTTAGAATTATTTTTATCTCTTACTGTTCTCTTATAGGGCAAACGGTACTACTAGTATTACATTTTCCCAGCATTAGGTTGGCCTTTTGTGTACACAAGGCAGGTGAAGGAAGTCAACTTAGGAGCGCTGTGATTGGATGTAAGGGTACAATATATTTTTTTTATTTATCTATAAATAACTGCAGTGTGTATATTTACAATATAAATTTTAAAACCTATTGAAATATTTTCTAGAGAATTATTCGAAAAGACTTGCAAAATTTCATAAATTTGGTGTAAAATGACGGTGGGCATGGATAACATAAACAAGCTCCGTTGGAAGTTGGTTATGATACTATTACGCTTCAATTTTTCAAACACAATAATAAAGTACTAACACCACACATTACTGTTTTATCCAGGTTTTTATTATAAAAAAAGTGGTAAATTTAAAAAATGTTAGTATTGTCGCCTATGGCAGAATAAATAGTACCGTTTTCCCTATACTAAAGATAGCAAGGGAAATCAAAATCAATCAGACTTCAGTTGTATTATGCTATTTTGAAGCTTTTGATTAGTACATTTGATTTTTATCACAAAGAATAGAATTTTTTCACTGAGAACAATACTGTGTTCAGATAAGTGCTGAGTCATCATAATAAGTCAAATTGATGGGTACTGATACATGTGATATAAAACTTTATTCTAGGATTTCAATATTATCTATATTGTATAAAATGCACCAAACTTTAGTTCTTTTGTATTTGTTTTCACCTTTTGCAATGATTAATTCAATAGGAAACACCAGAATTCATGTCGTGACAAATATTTTTAACTGAAATATTTGCCTTTTTTGCTGTGTAATTCCCTAAATGTATCACTTGGGTATTTCTCTAGACATAATCTATTAAAATGGGAAATTGTCTGGTTAAGTCTGTACTGTTTATGGAGTAAGGCAATATTTGATCATACTAGAAGCATTTTCAGTGTTAAAATTGTCCATCTAAGAAAAAGAAGAGGCCCACTTGAGTCTAAATTTAGATATAATTTATACTCTCCTGTGTAAAAGAATTATTCACATTCTTGGCAATTCATGCAGCAACTATTTCAATAGTGCTTCATTTTGTAGTTTCTATCTTTTATTAAAGCAGGCATATATAATTTTTCATTTTCTACTGTCTGAAAGGACTTCTGTTGGAAATTAATACTCCCAAGGGACATAATTCAGCTGTTTCATAGATAAATAAAGGCAACAAAGGCAACTTTACAGCTGAGTAGTTTGCACATTTAATGTTTTAAGTGTCTAATATCTTTGTTTTTATCATCTCAAGACAAAATAATGGATTTTATAACAAGCTCTGAAACTTTGAACCACAATATGGCATATACTAAAGAATGGAATGGACATTAGTATGAAAAATCTTGAATTTGTGCTTACATGTTGTATGTTGTAAATTTTGGATAAAATAGATACAAATTGAATGGTTCTGTCATTTTTATCTGTTTGAATGGAAATGTTTATTATTCTTTTTAAATAAGATAAGATATGATTGGATACAGGTTGTTTATTAAGCCTTATCTAAAAAAAGTAGAGAAAGAGGTAAACCAGCATGTAGGGGTGGGGACATACAATGATCCATGTGTCTTTAAGTAATGGGGACATACAAGTATTTATTTTAGCCAAGGTTTTCACAATAACCCAGTATTGCATTAATGGTGTCATCAGAATTCTTTATATCTTTATATCTTTAGTCACAGTATAGAGAAAACGGTACTATTACATTTTCCCAGCATTAGGTTGGCATTTTGTATACCCAAGGCAGGTGAAGGAAGTCAACTTAGGAGCGCTGTGATTGAATGTAAGGGTACAATATATTTTTTTTATTTATCTATGAATAATTACAGTGTGTATATTTACAATATAAATTTTGAAACCTATTGAAATATTTTCTAGAGAATTATTCGAAAAGACTTGCAAAATTTCATAAATTTGGTGTAAAATGACGGTGGGCATGGATAACATAAACAAGCTCCGTTGGAAGTTGGTCATGATACTATTACGCTTCAATTTTTTTAAACACAATAATAAAGTACTAACACCACACATTACTGTTTTATCCAGGTTTTTATTATAAAAAGTGGTAAATTTAAAAAATGGTAGTATTAATTGTCGCCTATGGCAGAATAAATAGTACCGTTTTCCCTTTAAATTTCTTACAATCTTATTTCATTACACAATTAGTGCTCCCTTCAACGTAGGTCGATCGATTTTTAAATAACATCCGGTTTCTTTTCTGAAAATCTAGATATGATCCTAAATTATGTCAATTCTATTTGTGGATACACATGTTTTAATAACTATTAACGTACTGTTCGTTATCTGGAATTATATTTGATTCAAAAGTAAGTACACACTATTTGTTTGCCTATATTTAAGAAAAAGTATGTGTAGATTGTAAAGTGTGACATATAGATTTTCTGGACAACAAAATAAATTAGATTTAAGATTTATTGATTAGTTAATATTTGAAATACATCGAGAAATCATACGTAACAAATACATTTGTTGTTTTCGTGGTACTTATACATGTATAATCACAAATACTTTTCATCATATATTTTGTTTAACTGAAGACATTGATTCTCTCGTGGTTATAACAAATGTTAAAGTTTAGGTGAGAAGCAAGAACCGAAAAATGACATATAATATATAATTTTGATGGTATCTACTGAAATAAAAGGAATACGAATACAACTACATGAATTACTAAATTATCTATAAAAAGATAATAAACAAAATGGAAAAATTAAAACATGGCAAAAAACTAAAACGTGACAATTTCATTTGCAAACGCAATAAACGATCCCTTTGATATTGTGCGACCAAAAATACAATAATATCTGGTGTATTTTTGAAAAATCCAGGTAAAATGATAAAATAGGTTGTTTCTGTGCGTTGTGCAACACGTATTTATGTATGTGTAACCTGTTATCATACCGTAAACAATTAAGAACATCTAAACCTTTCAAAAGTAAGTTTTACGTGCATAAAAGTATAATAATTACAGTTGATATAATTTGAAATGTAATGTCCATTGTAACAATTGGAAAAAAAAAGACTGTGCTCACACTTAAAAAAGTACTGAATACAATTAAGCCTGTACAATTGGAAAAAATTTTAAGACTTTGCATCCACTAGGTATTCAAGGATTGAATGTATTTAGTGCTTCAGAAAGATACAATATATCTTTATCGTTTACAAGAAACTCATTTTGGTAGATGTTTTTTTTACATTTTCATTTAAAATTTACTTTTTTCTTACTTTCACTTTCGTTATACACGAATTCTTACTTATTCATTTACCGTTACTGTATAGATTGAGATATGAAAAAAATCTTTTTATATACAATTCAAAGAGCTATACAAAAAATCGTCTCCTTAAATTAATAAAATTGATTTTCCTGATTCAGAAAAACTAAATTCATTTTTTTTTTTGAATGAGATATTAAATTCAATAAAAAAACATGCAATATCTCAAAAAGAGATGTCGGCCGCTTTAAATTGAGGGAAAATGAAAAATGCATTTCAACAGGTAAATCAAATACTTTATTTTTTTGTATCTGTGTTAAATGTTATATACCTCGTAAGTACCCCTACTTTAATGCAAGCAGTGTGTTTTTATTTTATTTTGATCTATATAAATCGGAAATAGAAACTTGTTTTTTATTCTTCCTTTGATTCTATGATAAATAATTTCCAAGAAACGCCATTCTTTTGAAATTTGAAATGTTAAGTTACTGTAATTTGATTTTACGTTCTAAATGGAGTTATTTCTTTATTCATTTATTTTGCAAATAAATCCCGACTCGTTTATATATATAGTGAATAGACAATCAACTAAGTCCGTTTTACCGGCAAAGTGTTATATCTTGACTTGAATTGAATGCTGGACTCTTTGATTTGACTGGACTGGACTGTGAATTGGCCTGGACTAGATATGACTCTCACTCTGTTTTTTTAATAACATTTCTTGATTTGTTATCTTCTTATTATTACGCATGTACTTATATGCATTTTGTTTAATCAGAAAGCTTTTATTTCAACAAATTAAACTGCAAGTTCATGTTTCCAGGTTAACAAAAAACTCAAAAGTTATATAAAAATGGCAACAGCGAAGTTACAAACAAAAGAATCAAGAACCAGACTAGCACGTATATTATTAGTTGTATCAGATGTGTTTCCAGAAATAATGCAAGAACTTCTATTAAATAGTATTCCACCACGAACACTTTTTAATATGATTCAAAATGACAAAAAAGTTAGTGACAATCTCAATTCAAAGGAACAAAAGATTGTTCAAGATATGTACCAAAGGGGATATGCTGACGTGGATGTGACTTTTGCTTATAAGTTGCTTAAATATTTTAATCTTATACCAACCCCAACACAGCTATGGGGACGAGAACCTAGGTCCTGTGATTTATCAGTCAGTGATGATGTGGAAAGAATTCACCATTTGCGTAACAGTGTTTGCCATAGAGCTTCGAAAGAAGTTTCGGAAACAGAATTGCAAAAGTATTTTACAGATTTTGTTGAAATTGGAAGACGTTTAGATACGTACCTTCAGAAAAGTTCGACTTTTGGTTTTTCCACAAAAGTATTGTCGCTACGATCTAATTCAATTGACGCAGAAACAGAAGAGAAATATACAAATGCACTTGAAGAAATTTGTGAGTTGAAATGTAAGTAATTATTCAAGATGTAAAAATTATTTTTAATTTCTTATTTTTTTGTATTTTTTTAAGACTGTTGGTGTTCATTTTTGGCTTAAGTTTGTTTTGTTTTGTAATGGATGTAGTTAGCCTGTGTATTGACTAATTAACTTTTGTGTTTTCGTTTTGATTTTTTATTCAGTACATGCGAAATAAATAAAAAAGATGATATCATGACATAAACTAATTGCTTCCAACAAATATAAACATTTTGTGAGTGAAGGTCTCTCCACCTTTTCGAACATGATTATTACTATGTTGGTTGGTTGGTTAGTAAATTGGTTGCATAACATCAAATAGCTTCAAATTCTTCATAAAAACTGGTTTATTGATGGATAGAAATTGTGCATACTGTCAAATTTGACAAATTTCGCATCCATTAATCGATTGATTGGCTTGATTTGTTTCTAATGAACAGCTATTTGCTAGACCAATTATATTACATTGAGTTTTATCAAAAGCAATATCAGAGATGCTATAAATGTACCGAGTAATACATTGATAAAATCATACTTTTGAAATAATCCATTATTTAAATGTCTCATCCTTTGACTCTTGACTCTCAATCGTCAATTGTAAACATTTATCTAACATGTCAAATAGATGTAATTTGATGACGAATTCTTTCCTAGCCGTAAAGTTTTGTCCTTATAGAAAATATTTTATATTTCGTATGTATGGGAAAAGCAGATGCGAAGCATTTATTTATCAATGAGAAAGCAACAAAATATAGATCTAAAAAAATGGACTTCAGAATTATAGTACCCCGAATCTATAATAGTGTTGAATCAATTTAAGATCATGAAGATAGAGACTATCAAAGGAACACCATAGAAAAATGTCTAAAACCAATATAGCTGAAAGTAAGCGTTAGATGTTGTTATTATGCAATCCTTTATACCAGCAGGTTTAACGTACATTACATACATCAACGTTAGACCATATGTGTTTCGTAAGATAACATTGTGCAATTCAATAACTCTTTGTTCGAATTCGATTATTCCTTTGCGTTTGACTTTTTTTTCTACACATTTTAGTGCAACTTAGACATAAATTGAAGAATGATAAAACGCTGAATATTTACTATGGGGTAGATTTTGAAAGCATGATACAGGAAACAAATGAAAAAGTCTGCGGTAAGTACAAATAATTACATTATGATTTTGGTATTTCGTTGTGATATTCATTTGAATTTGTTATCTGTGTATGTATACTTTTATTTAGAATCAGTTGAAAAATCAATCATATAACATACATGTATTTATAATTTCCAGTTATATAACTACAATGTTTATATCTTTTTTTTATAAATTTTATTCTGACATCCAAATTTAAGACCATATCATGAATTATTGTTTATCATAACGTCCTGTAGCACGCAAGTCTGATTTGCTGCAAAAAACTAACGGGTTCGTATTATTAAATAACAATATGCATGGTTCATTCATATAAGAAAAAAACATTAATCAGATTTACTTAACGCATACTGTTACATGTAAACAGTAAAGCTTAAGAATCTGAGTTTAATGCATATTCTCGATGCAATCGGAAGTGTTTTGGAATATCATAGTTGGGCCTGAGGAAAAGGGTACGAGATTTTTATGTCACATACAGTTGTCAAATAAAAGAATAATCTTTCAAACTTATTTAAGACTGCAATACTTCTTTTGATATAAGCAAATTTGAAGCAGAAATGGAAATTGTTTTCTTCTTTAAACGATTTACATTTATTTAGATTTATATTCCCATATCTGCTTACGAAAATCGTCTTTACAATATCTCCTGATACAAATGTGATAGGCGTTTGCTTCATTTTCTACTGTTACATGTATGGACGTTTCTATTTTAACCGAAGGCCCCTTCTTCGTTTCTCTATTAATATTTGAATATAAAAAAAAATCTTTAAACGAAATATTTGATGATATTTAGACGTCTACAATTTTGTTATGATAATGTAACCTGTATATGTATACAAGCTAAATATCAAGATATTTAATATTTAAATGTAAAAGCGAACTAGAGAATTCTAAAGTATCTCCAATTTCTGTGAAATTACCTACTAGATATTTATTTTTCTACAGTATCAATTTTTATGGTATTTATTTCAGAAGACGAAGGCGAAGTTGCAGCAACAATAGTAATACATGGTTGTGACAATGAGGAAGAAATCACAGAAAAAATAAATAATTTGAAAGAAAATTTGAATACTGGCAGATATACAATTAAGCTAAACAGTGCGTCACACGGAAGCATTTTATTATACGTCTCAATACAGACAAAAATGTTAAAATACAGAAAAAGTTTTCTGGCCGAAGTAACTGGATTTGTGGAAGACATATTGGGCATTTCTACAGTGGACTGTGACGTTACAGCTACCCTACGTCTATTTGATACCATTTTAGATAAAGGTATTTAATCAGATACAACTATAAGGGTTTACATATTATTTCTTCAGAAGATGTGGAATAAAAGTTTAAACAGATTGGGAAACTTTTCGTTGAATCAAAATGACAAGTAATCAGAACTGTAGTTATCTTAGCTTACAAGCATACACTGAACATAAATGTGTCCAAAGACTGCAGTTGACTTGTGATATATACCACTTATGATTTGTTCGTCGAGTATAGATTAAGAGTTAATAATAATTAAGAAAAAATATAAACAACACTTTATTTAATTCATGCGTCCGACGCGCTTTTCTGGTTTTTACCTCCGTCAGGAATGCTCAACGCCGAATATTTGAAAGCCAATGATGTATAAGAATCCAAACAGTTGAAGAGCTATATGACAAAAATTGACATAAACATAATAGCCAAATCCACTTAAGGTCAACTTTGCCTGGGGGAGTCAAAACGTTAGGCTCCTTAAAATTCTAAATCTATTTATACAAATAACGAGCTATGTGCAAATAAATACATAATGATACACAATATGCTTGCGATGCTTGAATATTCCTTGAAATTAAATGGGAATAGTCAGAATTATTGTAAAATGTCTTTTCTCAACGAACAACTAGTGTCGACATCTAGGTATATTTTAGGGTGTAGCCATAGCTGTTGATGTGCAATCCATATATCAACTGAATTAGGCGCAACCAATCTATACTGTTTCAATTAACTTTCAGCTAAAAAATTAGACAGAATTTAAATTGTATTGTGATCCAAAGGTGAAACCTAGTTCTGATATAGTTACCGATGCTATATGAATAAACATTGTCTTACAAATATTTCTGTACAATTTAATTGCACTTTATACAGGGAATAAAAAATAATAAGTTGGTTATCAAATCGAGACAGCATCAACGTCAAAGAAACATTATCAAACAATAGTTTATGAAATATTACAGAGAAAACTGAAAATTAAGAAACACGACCACCAAAGAAAACCCAAGGGCACGCCAATCCTCTTGGATTGTGCGTAGTTCCTGTTAACTACTGACACCCCTCTTGTTTTTCATGTTAAGTTAATTTACGATGATATTGTGCTTAGTGATTCATAAGGAAAAGAGATTTTAACATTGGTTGATGAGGATGACTAAAACTGATAATAAGGGTATGTTGGATAGAGGCAGTATTTTGCGTAGCAATGGTTCATAAAGTTTTGCGTACATAATTGTGTCACTTTCCATTCACGAGTCAGCGGAATTAAGGTCTTTATCAAGATGGACTTGGCTGTGTATTTAAAAAATGTATAGATCTTGCACAGTTGAACGGGTGTCCCTCTTTAGCATGGATTTGATTCGGGAGTACTATATTTCGTTACACAATTCAATTCCTTGAAATAGGACAAAATATTTGACAAAGCTTAATAATTAAATTGTTAATTTAAATGAAAAATTATGAAACAGGAGCACGAAAGCTAAGATTATCGACTTACCTGTAATTTGTTTATATTACTAGTTACTAACATTACGTTTAATTGTTCCCTTTACAGACGGTTGTACCAAAAGTTCAACTAGGCAGAATAAGTGGCCATCGACATATGTTATGGAACCAGGAATTCAGAAAAAACCAATACGATTAGATGTAGGAATAAAAATCAAAACACTAGAGTCGTCGACTTGCTTGCATGAAAATGTAATTGGTTTCGTGACGAATGTTTTAGAAACAGCAAATGAAAATGTCATTTCACAAGAGCAACATGTGATCGATGTCATCTTACAAGGAGAACATACGGGTAATCAGAATAGGAAAATGACCTAAGCTTATCAAAGATAAGAGCACGGTAGGCAGCAAAATGCCAACAAAGACGATCTTTGTAACTTAATGTTTATACTAACAAATTTATCAAGCAAAACGACTTTATTTTATTTTAAAGAGTTCTGTTTTTATATGTAATCGAAATGCAGTAAATAACCCTTAAAACACGACGAGAAATTTTGTGTGTTTTCAATCAATGATGTACTACTAAAATTCAAAATTGTTGTAAAGCTACACTTCCTTTCGACAATTTGTTTAAAAGTTCTGTGTTTCAAGCTGAACTTGTATGGACAAAAACCATAGTTTTTATTTCTTGTTTGATTTTTAATAACACCGTCTGATAGGCTAGTTGAATCTCAAGGAAATAATAGTTGAATATTGAAGATATATAGACCACTTATTACTATTTTTAATTTCAAGGTTATGAAATTGAAATTTTATTTAAAAAAATGGTACATTATGAGATAAAACCATTTTAGAGGTAAAAAGACTGGGTAAACGTTTGAAAAATCGTCTCTGAAACTACAGTGCCAAATGATACCAAACTATACCGGAACATTACATAGGGTATCTTTTATAAACATTATGTCCGGGGATTTGGTCCATCAACAAACATGGCTGCTGTTGCGAAGTAAAACGTAAGGATAAAAGAGAGGCGAAAGATACCAAAGGGACATTCAAACTCATAAGTCGAAAATAAAGTGACAACGCCATGGCTAAAAAAGAAAAAGACAAACAGACAAACAACAGTACACAAAACACAACATAGAAAACTAAAAACTTAGCATCACGAACCCCACCCAAAATTGGGTGTGCTCTCAGGAGCCCCGGATGGGTAAGCAGCTCCACATGTGGAACCTGTCGGCATATCGGTTTTGGCTTATGTCTCAAAAAGAATGCAGTTAGAGGGATAACAGGTCAACGTTTACCTCTGGCGTAATTTTCAGTAAATAGGACAACTCGTTATTGGAGTTTTGCCCCTGAAATGTCTTTTCGTTGCAAATTTCGCAGTTTTGGGTTAAAATCTTGAAAACTATAATAGAAGAGTGAAATTTTAATCATTGCCTTTAAATGATGACTTTTACCCTTTTTTGCATTTTTTTAGGAAAAAAAAGCTGATAGAGAATCAGAATAGTATAGATGTTTAACACAATATGATCTACAAATAAATGTTGTAAGTCATCATGAACGAATCGTCAATCGGCCTCTTATAGGAGTAATTGCACTTGAAGGACTAGGTTGACTAACATTTTGCGTTTTCAAAGTCTTCAGCAAAATAAGACCTAACAATAAGTTAACTTGGCCGAATTCGTCGATTTACCTTATAATTATTCTAAAAGATGGTTTTATCCATTTTTTTTATAATTTGCTGACACCATTATAGAAAAAGAAAAATTGTAAACATCAAAGATGTTCAGCACATTATGCATGTTAAGATCTACAAATAAGTCAAATGGCCGAAATTGTCAACTGACTCCATAAAGAGTTGTTACCCCTGAGTGACCGTTTTTACCCATTTTATGATTTTACAATATAACAAAAATATTCAGCAAAATGAGATCTGAAAATAAGTCAACATGTTTGAAATCGTCAATTGGTTCCTTTGAGGAGTAATTCTCCTTGAAAGACATGTTTTACACAAAGTATAAAAGATAGAGAGAAAGATTAAAAAAGCAAAACAAAATTAGCAAACGAAGATCTACAAATAAGTCAACAAGGCCAACTTGTCAGACTTATCATAGGATTTATTGCCATCAAATAACGTTTTTTTTATCTCAAAATAGGCAAACCGACCTGATTGCTATAAAGAAAAAAAAACAGAAAATAGCATAGTCATTACCAGGTGAACGATTCAGGCACTCGAGAGCCTCTTGTTTCAAATTACCTTGGATAACGGTATTATATAGAAATACACAATGTTTTGAAATAAAATGTATGTAACATGTGTGTTATCAAGTACATTTAGATAACTACTTATCTCTTCATTTGCAGATTTTCATCGTCAAGGAAATATTTACAAACCTTGCGACGATTGTTCAAACGTACAACCTCAAATCTCAACGTATGGTTGTTCAACATGTAGAAAGTTCTACTGCCACAGGTGTTTTGATATACATACTCAATCTAATATACACCACAAGGTTTTTCGAAACATCGATGTCTATCCATTTGCATGTCTGATTCACCAGAATGAATGCATATCGTCATTTTGCAGTTATCATGATCAACTGTGCTGTAGTGTATGCAATTGTAAATTTCATCCAAAATGCAAAACGGTCGACATTTGTGAATATAAACGTTTGAATTCGTCTTTCGAAGCAGATATTCAACAGAGATTACAAGACGCAAAAGACGTCCAAGTAGATATTGTGGAAAGACTGTCCGAAAATAATTCACATCTGACAGCAAATCATCAGCAAATTTCATTTCGGTTACATGAAATTAAAGAAATTTTAAATCAGCGACTGTGTGATTTAGAAATTGAAGCAGAAGAAAAATTATCGGAAATAGTTAACGATAACAAAAGCCTCTCGAACGAATTACTTAGTCGAAATAGCACGTTAAAGCAATTTGATTTTGACATTGAATTCAATAAATCCAAACATTGGAATGAAGATGGACATAAATTTGTTCTATTAAAACTAATTGAAAAACATTTAGCAAATGAGGAAATATATTTAGACTTCGTTCGTAATAAACTGCAAGTGTCAAATATTAATTTACAAGATGGCAATATTGATCCTGTGCTATCCGCATTCGGACAGATATCAGTAGTTCAAGAAAAAGTCATTTTGCCCTCTCTTAGGAAAATTAAACAAAGTCAGGTACCCGTGCTACGACAAAGGAGCTCCATAGCAATTTCATTAACATTCAAGTTTATTGCATCTGATTTCAATGACAGGGCAAAAATTTCGGCTGGACGTTTCTTGCTAGATGGAAAGTATCTGTTGAAAGATTCTGTGTATAACTGTTTATACATTTGTCAAGAAGATGGGAGCTTTCATGAACAGATCAATTTAGAAAACTGGCCAGCTGATATTACAGTAGTCAATGAAAATTTAGTAGCTGTTGCTTTATGGGAGAATGGTATACAGATTGTTGATGTGAATTCTTTAGAAGTAAAACCTATTTGCGAGATTGGGTTTGTTTCCGCCCTTGCCAGTTATAAGGAAATGCTTGTCATTGTGTTAGATGGTCATCTAGTTCGAACCGATTTAAAAGGAAACATCATCAAGGTTTTAGATAGGACATGTGCTGCCATTTCTATAAGTGTAGACCAGGAAGGAACAATTTACTACACTGATGAAACTAATATTTATTGCATTGATTGGGATGGTGGAACAATATTTAAAAGAAAATTGAAGTATCTAGATCCAGAAAATATGTGCGTTAATAAATACGGAGAGGTGTTTGCACTAAACACTAATGAAAATAACGTCTATAAATTATCCAAATCACTTAAACACTATGAAGTAATTTTGGGCCAAGAAAATGACATAAAACAGCCAAGAGGATTAGCATATAATGACAACGATGACCGTTTGATGGTCATAAATGCAGACGGTGCTGCGGTTGATACATTCAAATTAAATTAGTGTAGTTTAAGTGTCCTTATTTTATCGATTATGTCTCATTCACGATTATGACATTTTACATTTGTAACTGAGTATGGTTCGTATGACGGGTGATATATGCTTAGCATTTGATGATATAGCATTCTCGCTCTTTTTTCGAGTTCATGCGGTTTCCGCAATTTGTTTGTTACCTTAATTTGTATCGTTTTAATAGATTTATGAGATTTGGACATATAGGTAAACTGCTCTTGCTTGCAATATGATATAGCTTTGATAGACAAAATCAATAGCTGTAAATTGGTGAAAATCAGAATTTACTTTTCGTGTTTAAATTAATTAATTTTATTAACATTTTATAGTTCTACCCCATCTCAGATAGAGGAGTGTATACTAGTTTATTTCTGTCCGGCCATCCAATGATTGTTTTTGCATTTTTCGCATAATGCATTTTCAGATTTAACATGCAATGCTTTTCATATTCATTACTCATCATCTTCCTGTTTACCAAATACTGATCATGCAAATAGCGGGGGATTTTTTTTTAGCAATAGCTTACAGTTCAATTTGTAAATCATTTTAATAGATTTAAAAAAACAGTTTATTTAAAAAACTCTAGTAAGCTATTAGGCTGTCATTTTAAAACTCTTACTATTGTACTATTGTATGTAAATAAAAAAAAGTCTGTCGTATTGTTATGCCACTGTCTTTTTAAGACGACTTCTTTGTCGTGTGGTAAGCTATATTGCTTATATTATACGATTTGATCTGAAAGAGCAATGTGACATCACATACGTAAAATTAAATTTTACCTTACATTTCATTTCACAGTGTAACATGTGTAATGCATATACTATTCTGGAACAAGACAAAAACACTTGAACAAACAAAGCTGACAACACAATAACCCGAAGAAAAAGTTGGAACACACATCACTTCATTAACACTGCAAAGACAACTGATAATTGAAAAACACAAATCTCAAGAAAAAACGGCTTTGAAACTGATCACTGGTTCACGCTCAACTTATAGTACCTGTTGTGTTCTCATACAAATTAGATCCGTTGATGAGTCATACGTTGTGATGTCATCAACTATTAACCTGTGACAGGATAAAAGACAAAACATGTGGAAAGTATTTGTTATAATCTGTGACACTGCAATTACATTATAGTGAACCAAAAGCAGAAACCATGTGTTACGAAAGCCATGTAATCGACTTGGAAATACATACTCCATATGCAGACACTGCTGGAATGTACAATACACAATGAAAATAGAATAGAAAATGGAAACGGTGAATTTGTCAAAGATACAATAACTGATCAAAGAGCAGAAAACAACCCTAGTCCAGTGAGTTTTCATCGCAGCTAGAATATCCCACACCCGGAGAAGAGCGTCATGATCAGCTGCTCCTCAAACAATAATGTATACTACTTCAGCGGAATGAAGGCCATACTAAACTTCAACACATACAAATGAACTAACATTTTATAAATAAACGCACAAAGGCTAGAGGTTCCCGACTTGGGACCGACGCAAAATGCGGCGGGATTTAACATGTTTTGTGAAATCTCAGCACTCCCCCTATATCTCTAGTCAATAAGGAATAAACAAACACACAGCAACTTGCACATTAAAACTCAGTTTAAAAGAAGTCCGAGACTGGTGCTACATTAGGTAACAGGAGAAACTTAGCAAAATGACAATGATCACCATAATATAACAAAAGCCTGCTAGCAATTACTGACATACCAGCTCTATATAACTGATCGAAAGTACACAATTGTAATAGTGTTGAAGTTATCTTTTTTGTTGTAAAATGAAGATTTTAACCAACTCTTATTGTTAAGTTCTACATTTAACTCTCTTCAACTTCTTACTTGGTTTGGCTTTTTAACTTTTTTATTCGAGCGTCTCTGATGAGTCTTTTATAGACGAAACGCGCGTCTTAAATACAAAATCATAAGCCTTGTATCTCTGTTGATTTTTGTTGAGGAAAACTTTTCATTATTTTTTGTTCAAGACCTGCTGGGCAACTGGCTTCCTTTTTGAAATTGTATACGGCAAGAAACCTACGGTACAAGTACGTTCAGGTGATTAACATGCATTTTTTAAAACTCAACCGTAGAATATTTATACACTAATATAGATAGAAAAAATATATTTCAATGAAAAACATTTCCGTGAATATACGTGACAAAATTACGGTACTGGTAGATTTTAATTGTTCTTTAATACAACATTTGGTTCATACAGAGATGACGCAAGTTCATTTACTGTGACTTAACTGTAAGTGTTGCTTGGGGAATTGCAATTCCTTAAAAATTGTGATCCAATCGCAATTTGTTTTAACAAAACAAACTGTTCAACTGGGCAGAAATTTGAACAATTTGATGTAGAAAACCACAACCCAAAGTTAAGTCATCAAAGTTCAAGGTTTTAAAATAAAGCCTACTTTCACTCCTATTACATGTATAACATTTTTATGTCTACTTCATGGCTACAATGATAATATGGATGAAAATTTAGAAGGATATACATATTGAAATTTGTCATTTAAAAGGGAAGGTAGTAACAAATGTTCTAATTAAAGTTTTTGAATTATTTCTTCTAAAATTGTATTTTTCTATGCATGCTGCTTAACATTTGTTAAAATTAATATATACATTTTTTTGTGAAATATACTTTAATATATAAATAACAGAATGCCAAACAAAGTTATATTTGGACCGTACGGTGACCTATAGTTGTTAATTTCTATGCCATGTGGTGTCTGGTGGAGAGTTGCCTCATTGGCAATCATACCACATCTTCTTATTTTTATATTTAAGCTTTAATATGTTCTCATGTAGTTTCAATTTTTCAAACACGGGGGATCAATGATTTTAGATTTTCTCAAATTATAAATGGAAACGTATCAGAAACAACATATTGTAACTTCACATATACATGTATATACATATAAATACATACAAAAAATAGTATAAAAGCTTAATTTAAACATATTTATAGCAATTAAAAAAATACTACATTTCACCTTTTGAATGCCTCTTTACAATAACAATATGTATAGAACTTTTTAGCAACGGTTTCATGAAAGCAATAAAGCTGAAATAATATCTTATAGGATTGTAGTATGCTTTATTTTATCACCTTGCACTCTGATGACTTGAATGTGGTTTTCTACAGCAGTTGGTTAAAATTCTTAATTATTTAAATGTGCATGTTCATGCAGGGAGCGAGATAACAGAACTCGGGGCTGGTAGGTGAACATAGTAAAATGAGGCGTAAAGGTAGCAGTTAAATGTCAACCAAATTTCTAAGACTATCACGACAAATTTAAATCAATAAAAAAAATTCTGTAGGGGGCAGAGATGCAAATTAATGATTTAAAAAGATCAATCTTTTACCTTTCTGTGGATTGTTTTCGGTTGAATTTATGCTTATGCACAAAAACGATCCACATATATTTGCACCTACCATAATGGACTGTTTTGTGAAAATTTGACTTTACTTTAAAAGTTCAGAAATATCTCGAGACTCCATATTATAATTTAACTATATACACGTATATGAGATGCAAAAAATCCTAAATTATGCACATACATGTACATCAATCTTCCAAAGCCCATAGAAACAGTTGTAAACAATTCCAATATACCAACTTGACCATTTATACCTTCTCTTATAAAGATTTCCATTTCATTTTTTTTAATTTTAACTGGATATCAGCCTGATACGAACGTTAAAGGGTTGGGTAAAAAAGTGGTAGTACATAATTTTAGATTTTGTAAGCTTAAATTGTAAGTAAAAAGTGGTTTGCAAACAGAAAACAAAATGACACACTCGGAGGGTTATGCTGAAAATTACACACAACTTTTAATGTAATACACGATTTCATAAGATTAGAAATAAAAATTGTCTTCAAGATTGTGGTATACAATGGTATAAGAACCTCTTGTTTTACTAGTCAGTGATCCACCAGTTTGGTATGGAAATTGTAAGAAACCGCATATCAGTCCATTAAAACTTCAAAAGATGTAGAGTACGATTTTTTGTTTAACTTAGTCATGTTTCTGAACTGGGTTATTAAATGTCAAATTGCCGAACGGGGTCATCTTGTACTGGCTGGTCTTCTTATAAAAATAGTAGACAAATGGATATAAAGCGAAAATTAGTATTGGTTCAACGACAAACCCAGATAAAGCAAAAACTAGTATATGGGCAATCATGATGATTCCAACTCCTTTAATGAAGATAACACGGCGCCAGAAATATCCATATGACAAAATAATCGCACATAATAACCCGAATGCTACAAATCCTATGCAAACTACCGCAGTATCAACTTTTAATCCTGTCCATTGGTCTATTGTGGATGTATACATATTAAGTCTTTTACCCTAAAAGAATAATGGACTTATGTAAGCGTATTATCTAATCATATAGGTACGACAGACTGGATTTCTCAATTCCAACTTGACATTTATCAGTTAAAAGTAGACATTTATTTGTTCCAAGATGACATGTAGCTGTTTTAAGTTGACATTTTTTTTGTTCCAAGTTGATATTTTTCATTTCAGCGTTTACATTTCTCACTTCCAAATTTGTCAAAATTACTATTACTTACAGCAACAGTTTTGTTGGCGTCTTTGATCTTTTTATATGTTTATTTTAAATTGTTAGTCCGTTGTATTGTACATCTTGTATATCTGTGATGTATGTTTCCACAGCTGTGGCTGCTGTATCTTAATTATGGTCACATTAACCTATTATGTCTGTTTTGTCAATATAACTGGACCATAAACAACTATCATACAAGTGGGAGGTTCACCTAGCTAGCTTTAAAACCAGGATAAACCCACCATTTTCTTCGGAAAATGCCTGTACCAACTCAGGAATATTGCAGTTGTTTTTCACTTGTTCCGTTGGTAGATTACGTTTGATTTTGTCAGTTTTTATGGACTTTTTTAATTCACCTTGGAGTTCGGTATTTTTGTTATACTTTTTACTCAAATGGCCTCACTTGCA